ATTGCGCTTCTTATTGGCATTTATGACATTTATAAACAACTAACTTATGTTCATGGATTTGCCCTTGTGAATGATTTTTTTCATCTTTTGCATTATTAGTTATTATTTAAAGCTTCAATGATTTTCTTGCTAATAGGTACTAGCGAGTGCATAGCGATGCATAAAACATAATTATTAGGAATAATCACAAGATTCTGTATGTTTGTTTTACTCCTGTATCCTTGTTTTCTCAAAAAACTGAACTATTAATTTAGCAAGCTATTAAAACTTTGCTAATAAAGCAATACCATTCATAGCTGTTTCTCCCACGTGGCTTAACTCTGACAGTCATGACAGTACACGAGAAAGCTCTCGTGGAATGAAGGAATAAAGGATCAAAATATGTGTAGTAATACTGATGTATGGCGGAAGAACACTCTGTGATATATTACACTCAATATTATGTATAGCTTGGTTACATTACTTACGTTCCGGTTGCTGGGCAGCTTGCTTTTGGTTCAAATTGTAAATTGTAGCGGTATAGTTCAAGTAATTAAGAACGTGTTAATAAAACTCATTTATTTTTGGAAATAGGCTTTTAAAAAGCACTTTTACACGTCCCAGTATTAATTAAATCTTAGGGTTAAAAGATCTAAGGCTGGGTTGCACCACCTAACTTTAACGGTAACTATTACGATAACCGGTGGTTTTGTAAGGAGTTTGATAGAATTTTGACATTTGTTAAATTGTGTCGTTATAATATAATTAAAGTTTGATGGTGCAACCCGGCCTAATCTATGCTTGCTTTCTGGGGGGATCTGGGGTAGTAAGATTAACCACAAATCGCGCACAATGGCCCAATCCTGAGGCTAAATATAATATAATTTATAGCCACGATAGCCCAACAGTGAAGGGGTCGGAGTGGCCGACTCGAGATCCGAGGAACGCGGGATCGAATCCCACCGCCGCTCGACTATTGTGGGGAGCCCACTCGTAACACAAACTTATTTAGCTTAACACGAGGGGCTAATGGGACTGTTAGTTATTTGGGCAATACAAATTGCTAATAATTAAAAAAAAAATGCGGTATTCGATTGCCCTAAAAAACTAAACTAACTAAACTAAACTAATAATCTATTGGTCTAATACCGATTCAACGTTTTAGAAACATCTTTTAACTCTTTCTCACACGACTCGTTCGCTAGATCTTGCCCTCTGTTTGAGCATTATGTCTTGAGTAAAACTAAAGTGGTCTATATTTTACGTCACTCTCAGCACATTTCATTCACCGCTACAAATGGTAGTACATTATTATAACTCATTTCATCACTTGTACCTATAAAACGTTGTGTCACATCCACTATACAAACTCTACATCGCTACATCTTATAACTCGAAAGCCTGTTCCACGACGATGCTGACGATCCCTTTCCGAGTTGAAAACAAAACTATTCCCACCTCTCGTTCCCACCGCTGCAACTCCTGTGTAGCCAGGATCTACAGCTTGACCGCCAATGAAAGCCTGGTGGGTACCAGTGAATGTCAAGTTTGTCGCGCGGGAAAGTTAAACTGTCATTGGACCCGCAACGAAGTTAATCTGAAGAACAAGAGGAGTTCGAAGTAAGGTTTCTGAGTCGTTAAGTGTGCTATATGACCTTTACTCGCCACGTCTCATGACTCGCCCCTCAAAGTGCGATATTGTCTACGAACTACTCAGTTTTACCACACTACATATCCCAACTCACTGCTACATAAAGTATAACAACTCAACCGCTATGATCCTCTGACTCGCGCTTCGAGTCTATCGGCCGTATTCACAAACGATGCTTGCTTAGCAAATCGAACGCACATTGTTGAATGGAGCTCTATGATTGGTTCGTGTGTCACCCTGTGCGTCCACGCGCACTGGGAGACCTCATAGTAATGTTTGTGAATACGGGCGTATGATGATTCTATTTCGCTCGCTACATCTCATGACTCGCCCCTCAAGGTGCGATATTGTCTACGAATAATACGCAATACCTCAAGTCCGTGATGAATGGGCGCGTTACATTGATAACGCCGGCAATGTGTTCCCAGTTTTTACGCGTCATTTTCACCTTTCCCGAATTAGCGAGATTACCCAAAAAAATTGGTCGGCACTCGGATTGTGTTGTTGAATTTTTAGGCAAATCTATTTTTTATGTCTTTTAATATTTGATGGAATATTTGATTGGTTAGTAATTTGACGCCTATTGGATAAAATTTTCGAATTATTTTCTAGCAGCATTTTGTATAGAGTGGAATGTAACGATCCTCGTGTCAGTCAAAGCTAGTCGTAGTCACACGTTACATATATCTACCTACCGTAGCACTTTGACAACGTGTGACTGCGGTTTTCCAAACATGAAAATTACTATGCAACTACATTAGCAACTTTGTTCAGTTCAGTATTCTGAAAATCTTGTTTTATACTTTTTCAGCGTCGTTTTTTGTCGTAGTTGGGTTTTAGTTTTTGTTTGCTTATGCCGAGTTGCACCATCTAACTTTGACCGTAACTATAACGATAACCAGTGCTTTTTGTAATGGAGTTTGACAGATTTTTGACGTTTGTCAAAGTAAAAGTAAGATGGTGCAACTCAACCTAAGTTTTCCACACTATACACTTTCGTTTCTTGACATATTTCGGTAAAAAAATTAATATAAAATTCAAGATCACTCTCACTTTCACACAAATCAAGCGGCGGATAGAAGCTATCAAACGATGTATTGTGTTTAATTTGTTTTCTCCGTTACAAGCTAATTCAACTTACGATAGCACTTAACTTCCAAAAATTTCACTTAAATTAAGAGTAAAGCACGACGAAGCCGCGAACCGTCAGCGGTTAATTCAAGCTTTTGTCTACTAGAATTGTATTCCGTTGTTCTATGAAAAAGTTAACTTTAATTCCAACGCCTGTCTCCATTTCAAACCCTATTTCCGAACTGACAAAGTTCATTTCGAGTTGCAATGTAAATTTTTCAGCGGAAAGTTGTTGCTGTAGTTTTTGTTCACATCCTAGTGTTTTAGTTAGGGCTGCTAAAAGTAAGGCGTCAATTACATTAGATCAATAAGTAGGTAAGCTTGTGCTTTAACGATTTTATAAGTTTTGAAAATGACTAAGAAGTTTTGTCAGATGTATGGACTAAAATTATAAAAAAATATTAAATTAGATTGATCTGTTTTGTTTATGTAAAATCTTTCTACTTTTTGGATCAACTCGAATGCTTCTAAGTCAGTTTCCTTTTTAATTTTAACTAGGTACTTCAAAATATTTTCAAAATTCTTTTCGGGATTTTTGTAGTTTTGTCAACCCTGCCGAAAGGTTTACGATAACAATGTTTGCAACAGAAACTAGCTTGGTTTGTTTTTCTCGTACTGTTATTGCTCGAGCGGATTGCTTTTAAATAATGGGTAGCTGCTCATTTACTTTACATTGTTAGAGTTAATTGGGACACAATAATTTATTAATACAAACAGACAAAACTTTATCTCCAGTACAAGATATAGATAGTGCCATTCACGAAGACATGCCCCACCAATTTTTGGTCGAGAGAAGCGCTTGGTGCGAGGAGTTTGATCCGAGCGTCGTCAGTCGCGAGTTATTGTAGTGTGCGTGTGCATTTGGGTGTACCGACGATACTCAAACATTATCGGAAGCATGCATATGCTATAATATAAATGATTAGGACGAATGGTGGGGCGCATCTTCGTGGATGGCACTATCTATACAGACGACTGTAGAGTGTAGGTGCAATAAAATAATGTATGGATAACATACATAAAATTGAACCAACACAATGCTATTCTGTAACAAAAATGTATAGATAAATTTTATTATTGAGGAAATTATCATATTGTGGTGCTGTCAATATCTCTGACAAGTTTTTACTAAACGGCTCACAGATTCGGGTACCTTTGTGAGGAAATAAATTTCTGGGTCGCATTTTTGAATGCTTACTATTCAGAGTTAACCGGAAATGTGCCCACCAGTTTGCGTCACCATCTAGTGACAGGACTTTACTGACAGTGGAGCCTTATGAGAAAAAATACAAAATCACTTTTTTAGCATTAAAAACACATAATAAACGTCAAACAAAACTATAACATAAGTCAAAAGTCTGTCAAACCTCATACAAAAACACCGGTTACTGTTATAGCTAAAAGAATGTTAGTGCAACTCAGCCTTAAAGTAACTGTAACAAAATCGAACTGCAAGATAAAAAAATAAAGTGCACGATACAATCAAATGTAAATGCCAAAAGTACCGCCATCAGGATGTTTGTATGGCGCATAAAGTGCTCATACGCCACATCGGGCCCATAAAAACGGCAAAGCACGAAGCGAATTTGAATTGTGGGTTCTGTATGTAAATGACGTAGGTAGAGCGTGGTAAATGATAACTGTTAAGATGTAAATTTTATAATACTTAATATCTTTGCGTGGTATTCTTAAAAAGGTAAATAGTTCGTTTGAATACCGCCAGGGGTTTGTTTTTGGTTCGTTGTTCGGTTGTTCTCGCCATGACTGTTTGATTTGTAATACGTTTTATTTTACTTGAAATATACGTGAGAAATCTTACTCAAGAGTTTATTTTAACCACACCTTAACAGGTTATGGGCCCAGGTACGTTAATACCTACGGATTGAGTAAAGAGCAGAAAAAGTGTCGTTCGAAAAAAATGGAAGTCACAAATTCCATGCGGGTCGAAAAATTCAACGGGAAAGACTTTAGACAGTGGAAATTCCAAATTAAATGTGCCTTGAAGGCTAAAGGCTTGAATATTGATGAGGAGAAACCCAGGGTGGGTGACACAAGCCAATGGGACAAAAACGATGGTATGGCCATGTTTTTGTTAACATCGTCCATGGATTTAAATCAAATATCCTTAATAGAAAATTGTGAAACAGCCAAGGAAGTCATGACAAAGTTGGAATCTATTTACGAGCAAAAGTCTGAGCTGAACAAAATGATGGTACATGAAAAATTTTATCAGTATAAAATGTCACCTACAGATGGCATCGCTCAGCACATTTGTAAAGTGGAGAATCTTGCTAAACAACTAAAAGAGAGTGGCGAAGAAATAAGTAATACGGCCATTATGACAAAGATCTTGAGTACGTTACCGTCAAAGTATCGCTCTCTACGTCAGGCATGGTTGTCATTAGACCCAAAATCTCAAACGATACAAAACCTAACAGCGAGATTATTGGATGAGGAAGCAAGCCTGACAAATGAAGAAGAAGTTGAGAGTGCTTTAGTGGCTATGAAAAATCCTGAAGTACAATATAATCAGCATCGATTTATATGTTATAATTGCAACAAGAGAGGGCATTTCGCAAGAGACTGTAGAGCCCCAAAGAAATCTGAGAAGAAACCTCAAGAGCAAAGTATGCTTGCATTTAGTGCTGAACAATCAGAAACATCAGCTTCATCATGTGATGAATGGATTCTTGACAGTGGTGCTTCGTCACATATGTCATTCAGGAGAGATTATTTCTGTGAGCTAATAGAATATGGCCAGAATGGTAGCAATAAAAAAGTGATATTGGGAAATAATAAGGAGTTGGCAGTGCAGGGATGTGGAAACATATTGATTAGAAGATTTGTAAATGGCAAGTGGGAGAAAAGCATAATAAAAGATGTGCTTTATGTGCCAGAACTAGAAAAGAATCTGTTCTCAGAAGGTATGGCAGCTAGAAAAGGCTATGTTATTGTAAAGAAGAACAGAGAGGCCCTAATATTAAAAGACAATATTGTTGTAATGACTGCAACATTGAAACAGAACAATCTTTATGGACTGAACATTAAAACCTTATTGAATTTGACATTGAGTAAGAATGGTGCAATTCCAGTAACATTGACAGACGTTGACAACTTCATTTGTAAAGGATGTCAATTTTATAAATCTGGTAGAGGAAAATGTGAACCTGATGAAAGTGGGAAAATAAGTAGGAATGTATACTTCAATAAGAACAATTTACCGGTCCAGAAGAAAAATATTACTACAATTTCTATTACTGAAGAAAAAGATCGAAATGAAGAAAGTCCAGAAATATCAGGAGACAACCAAGATATTACTGAATCAAGTTTTGAAAGTGTAGAGACACACGAAGATCCCAATGATAGAACATACGAGCCTTCGCAGATAATATCTGAAGATGATACAAGAAATATTACACTGCGACCTAGAAGGCACAGAAATGAAGAAGCGAATTTCGTTGAATTTGATATACCTACTACATATGAAGAAGCTATGAATTGCAGAGATGGCAGTAAATGGAAAGAAGCTATAGAGGCAGAAATACAGTCGCTAGAAGAAAATAAAACATGGAAGTTAGTAGATAAGAAACATGAGAGAAGAGTGTCCTCAAAGAGGGTATTTTGTATAAAAAGAGATACAGAGGGCAATATAGTAAAATACAAAACACGTCTTAAAACGTAAACGTATGTATTGTGTTAAATATGTAGAAAGCTCAAACCAGCTCGCACATTTTTTTTAACAGAAGCTGTGTCTTTCATAGTTATTTATTTATGTTGAATGGAAAGTGAGTTGTTTTGAAGCTTTTATAGTTAAGTAGGTTATTATTCTAAAATTTAAGTGGGAGTGTTAAGATGTAAATTTTATAATACTTAATATCTTTGCGTGGTATTCTTAAAAAGGTAAATAGTTCGTTTGAATACCGCCAGGGGTTTGTTTTTGGTTCGTTGTTCGGTTGTTCTCGCCATGACTGTTTGATTTGTAATAGGTTTTATTTTACTTGAAATATACGTGAGAAATCTTACTCAAGAGTTTATTTTAACCACACCTTAACAGATACTATAGCCATGTGGGTAAGTAACTAGCTTATATGTAGATCAGTTGCCGAGTGGGTGAGTGGTTAGCATAAGAATACCTAGTGCCGAGGCTAGCACAGAAACTCACTCATTATCGCGAGTACTGTTGTACAGATCAAGTGTGTTGTATGTTCGAGATATGACGTGTTTAAACATAGCTTTTGTTTCTTGCAGGTGGCATACGAGCGCATGGAGAAGATAGGCCAGTCCATCGGCTACCAGATCCGTTTAGAGTCGCGTGTCAGCCCGCGTACTGTGTTAACGTACTGTACCAACGGTGTACTGCTACGCACGCTTATGGGTGGAGACACCGCGCTCGCAGGTCAGTGCGGAGTCTCCGGACACCGTTCATTTGTTCATTCGTTTCAGCTGGACAAACACCGGGACCCAAGGATTTCTACAACGATCGGTCCAGCGATACTTCCCGCGACCTTCACCGAACACCGTATTAGATAAAAAATATTTGTAAAGCGCGGTCTGTGAGCACGTAGAATTTTGTCCAATGACCCCAAGCTACCCATCCTTATCGCTCGCGCGTAATTATATTGCTGTCGCGACTGTGCGACGGGCGCCCGCAGTGAGTGTGCGAGCGCGACAGCAACATAGTTACGCGCGAGCGATAAGGATGGGTAGCTTGGGGTCATTGCACGAAATTCTACGTGCTAACAGACCAGACTATAGTAAGTTACTGGTCATCACGGAACACGAAAGGTGGAGTAAGTAAGCGGTCACATCATATTAGCGTTTAAAGTTTCGATTGTCAAACATCTGCGATGCATGCGCCGCGTGAACACGTGATCGCTGAAACAACTTTGGGCTGACACTGTGTGTTTTAATCTTCTTCTTTTCGTGTCGACAACAAACCTACACAGTGTCAGCCCAAAACTCCGCCACAAGAGTGGCGTTGTCAGCAGCACTCATCAAATCCTCCCGAGTGCAGTTGCTTGGGCACTCAGGGCACGACATCAGGTGCTTCATCGACTGGGGAACAAAACCAATGTGTTTTAATGTTGTTATGATTTGTAAAAATAAAACTTTCCTTGACCAGGCGTGACGCACGTGTTCGTGGACGAAGTGCACGAGCGGGACAAGTTTAGCGACTTCTTGCTGATCGCGCTGCGAGACGCCCTGCCCCGGCAAAAGGACATGAAGCTCATCCTCATGTCTGCTACCATGGATACGCAGATATTCTCAAGGTGAGTCACACTGAGCCTCTTTGTTCCTCTGTGGGAACAAAAGCGGAACAAGTTTAGCGACTTCCTGCTAATCGCGACCCCGGAAGAAGAACATGAAGCTCATCCTCATGTCTGCTTCCATGGACACGCAGATATTCTCGCGGTGAGTCACATTGAACCACTATGTTCCTCTATGGGAACAAAAGCGGAACAAGTTCACCGACTTCTTGCTGATCGCGCTGCGGGATGCCCTTCCTCGGCAAAAGGACATGAAGCTCATCCTCATGTCTGCTACTATGGACACGCAGATATTCTCACGGTGAGTCACATCTCTTTGTTCCTCTGTGGGAACAAAAGAGAAGCAGGGTAGGGAGACTTGTATGTGTGCGTAGCAGCGGAACAAATTCAGCGACTTCTTGCTGATCGCGATGCGTGACGGCCTGCCGGGACAGAAGGACACACTTAACAACCACCATGTTCATTGTTGCAAGATAATGACGTCACCCATAAGACGATCACAACCACAGAGGTAACTTCTTGGAGGCAAAGTGAAGCGTCTTATTTGGTAGTTATGTTTCATTTTCTAAAACTGCGTTAGGCTCACGTGTTCACCGACGTGAGGTACGAGTATAATGCCTTGTTTTTTAAAGTAAAAAAAAACTGACCATGTTGTGGGCTTTGCAGTCGGTTTGCAGCTTTGATGAGGTTATGCATAAGAACCGCATTCAAATAACAATTCGTCAACTGGCTGGCGGTCTTGCAGTCTGTAACAAGCCTTAATTAAGCGACGAAAAGTGTCAACACTTTGTCTTCCTCAGGTACTTCAACAATTGCCCCGTGGTGACTATCCCGGGGCGTTTACACGAAGTCCAGCGGTACTACCTGGAAGATGTCCTTCGCATCACCAACTACAAGACCAAGCGCATGGCGCAGCTCGAGACCGAACTCAAGGCCAAGCTGAAGGCTGGGAACAGCTACTGGTCGCACCTGGAAGGTATGTTAGTGTGAAAAGTGTCTACAAGTTACAGGTCTGGTGAGTTATGGTATGGAGATGATGGCAACGCAAAAAGAACACTAAAAACATAATTTATAGCTTTGACTTCAGTTGTATTTTTTCTGTTTAAAAAAATCAAATTCAGGTCTATCTGACACTAGCGCTCATGCTGGCATTTTTGGGATGGCAACACTGAACTTCGGATAATTTCATCATTTAATGTGACATATCAATGTACAGTCACCTCTTCTTTTCTTCTACTACTTCTACGCTAAAACTTGCGCGTTTCTATCGCAAAAAAATATGAGTGGCGCGGGCACAGGCGACGTGCGTTCGACGTCTCGCGCAAGTTTAGCTTAGGCCTTTTATTTTAGTGCTGCCGACTATTTGGTTTCGATGTTCAGTGATTAAACCTGGTCTTACCTCAACAGGTCAGAAGCAGACCGCGCCTGATAGTAGCAATAATAGCAGCAAGGAGCCGGCACGCGAAGAGAAAGAAGCATTGGAGCCGGCGCTGCAGGCAGACATGGACGAGTTCCTGGACGACTGCTTCAAGGACGGCAGCCTGGTGAGTGCCACGGCGGGAGGACACCAAGATGTGGTCTTCATTCGAGAATCATCTGACTATTATTCGATTCTACTATAGATATGGCAAGCTCAATGCCACTTCGCTTGCTAACATCTTTGTCCTGAACAAGCTTTTTTTTATGCCTCTTAAATTAACAAAAACAAACGTTCTGTTAACATGTCACATGAAACTTGGTATACAACACCTATATTTGGCCTCATATCTGGTTATTTAGGCTTGGGCCAAATGCCGTGCCGCTGACTGTACATGAGCACTTACGTATTCCAGTTACATTACGTACTAGGGAGAAGGGGGCTTCCCCCTTCCATTTAGATTTTAGAAAGGCACATCAAGCTAAACACTGTGGCATTTTATCTAGTTGTAACAGTTGCTATTTTTCAACAAAACCGTGTTGTCTGCTAACGTGCGTTTCTCCCGCAGGACTCATTCTGCCAAATCCTCTACATGTACCTGTCAGAAGGTGTGCACGTGGACTGCGCGCATTCGCGCTCGCGCCGAACCGGGCTCATGGCCGCCGCGCACCATGGCTTGGCTGAGACCGCCGCCAATATACTGCAGATCGGTGAGGGTACATTGTGGTACATGAAACGTACATTGTGGTACATGACACGTACAAGAGGTACATTATGGTACATGACGCGTACAAAAGGTACTTTGTGGTACATGATACGTACATGCGGTAAATTTTATTGTGGTACATGACAAGTACAAAGGGTATATTGTAATACATAACACGTACTCACTGAAGCAGTGGTAGAGTTAATACTGGGACGTGTAAAAGTGATTTTTTAAAGCCTATTTACAGAAATAAATGAGTTTTATGAGTTTTTACAAAGAGTACATTATGGTACATGAAACGTACATAGGGTACATTATGGTACATGACACGTACAAAAGGTACATTGTGGTACATGACACGTACAAAGGGTACATTGTGGTACATGACACATACAAGAGGTACATTTGTGTCCGCGCATGGTACATAACTCTTATAAGCGGTACATTACTGTTGAAAATTATAACACGTATACAAGGAGTCATTAGTGGTATTGTGTGGCACATGATACTTACAAATGGTACATTAATACGTGCGTGCAGCGCGGCACAGGTAATGATACTTGTATATTTTTTTCTCCAACCCTCTATAAATTAAATATTTTGTTCGTATTCATCCAGGCGCGGACCCCACAATAAAAGACTCAAACGGCAAGACAGCGTTCGACTACGCGACAGAGAGCGGGCACACTGAGTGCGCTCAACTATTGGCCTCGTTCAACCATGCGGGCGAAGCCACCAAGGACGTCGAGGAGGAATCCGCGGCAGACGCCTTCGCTCTGGATGTATACCACCATGCCTTCTCCGAGGAGCTGATTGACCATGACCTGATGTTGGCATTGGTGAAGCACATTCATCTGAACTTGCCGAAAGGCAGCATCCTGATTTTCCTGCCTGGGTAAGTTTAGTTCTTGTTGTGACTTGTGATCGGTTTCTGTGAGACAGATGGTAGAGTAAAATAGTTTTTGAGTAGAAATAATGTCTTAGCTAAAGTAGTGATCGACGGGAACGACGAAACTGAGGGGCAGTTTAATGAACTGACAACCTCATAAAGATAGCTGGCAGTGAGCAAAAAACGGGACTATTCCCACCTCTCGTTTCCCACCGCTGCAACTCCTGTGTAGCCAGGATTTACAGCTTGACCGCCAATAAAAACCCAACCAGTGAAAGTTAAATTTGTCCCGGGGGAAGGTTAAACTGTCATTGGACAGGAATTGACCATAAGCAAACATCGCTGCCACTGAACCGTAATTGATCTAATATAATTTATTTATATCAAGTCACTATCTGCTAGTGTTTTCAGCTCAGTGCAAAAGTATGTTTACCAGCTAACCTTCAGAGATCGTCATCATCATCAGCTTATAGCAGTCCGTAGTTGAGCATCTAGATGCCTATAGATTCCACTTGCCGTATCTTGCTTGATCTTTCACAACTCCACTTGTCTCCGACTCCTCCGTCGTTACACTTTTGACAGAGTGGTCGTGGTTCTAAACAGTGTGGATTATTGTGGGTGGATGTTGCTCACCTTACGATCTATCGCCATCTATGCCTGTTACTGTGACGTACAGTTAGCGTCAAATATTTAGTGACACCCAAAGTAGCCCAAAACTTCGCAACGTCTTTGTTACAATGAGGGCTATCGTTTTAGCGCTCACCAGTTAGTGCCACTGTAGAGTAAGGTCCTGTCACTTGCTAGTCGCGAAGACAGTGGCACCAACTGGTGAGCGCTAAAGTGGTAGGAGGACTATCGTATTTGCACTCATCAAGATGGCGCCACTGTAGAGTAAGGTCCTGTCAATCGCCAGGGGTGCCAACTGTTAAGTATAAAAACGATAGCCCTCATTGAAATGGGGTTGTGTTATCGACTTTTTGGCCACTTTGGGTGACACGAACTATTTGACACTGACTGTATCTAACTTGAGGCGTTCTATTTTGCATCAGATACGACGACATCGTAACCCTCCGCGACATGATAACCAGCGACACGGAAATGGCCTCGCTGAAGTATCAGACCTTCACGCTGCACAGCAACATGCAGACCCTCGACCAGAAGAAGGTGTTCAACCCGCTGCCCGGCGCTCGCAAGGTCATCATCTCCACCAACATCGCCGAGACCTCCGTCACCATCGACGACGTGGTCTACGTGGTGGACTCCTGCAAGGTGCGTGTCGCGGACCCACGTCACAGACGGACCCTCGACCAGAAGGTGTTCAACCCGCTGCCCGGCGCTCGCAAGGTCATCATCTCCACCAACATCGCCGAGACCTCCGTCACCATCGACGACGTGGTCTACGTGGTGGACTCCTGCAAGGTACGTGTCGCGGACCTACGTCACACACAGACCCTCGACCAGAAGGTGTTCAACCCGCTGCCCGGCGCTCGCAAGGTCATCATCTCCACCAACATCGCCGAGACCTCCGTCACCATCGACGACGTGGTCTACGTGGTGGACTCCTGCAAGGTGCGTGTCGCGGACCTACGTCACACACAGACCCTCGTCCAGAAGGTGTTCACCCTTTTCAACTTTAGCAAACGTCCAAAATCTGTCAAACTCCATACAAAAAGCAGCGGGTATCGTTATACATAGTTACGGTTAAAGTTAGCTGGTGCAACTCAGCCTAAATTATCTCTATACCTCATTTACTTAAATGTGTGTTTGTCCCTGTATGTTGAATAACTATTGTGTAATTTTCTGTGTAACGTATATGTAATTGAGTACCTGAGTTATGGAGCGGCAAATCAAATCAAATCAAATCAAATCAAATCAAAAATATTTATTCAGTTTAGACCACAAGTGGCACTTATGAACGTCAATAGAAAATAATAAAAAAAGAAAAAGTAGCCCTTATGGGGCACTTTACATGTCTCCTTATCTTTTGGGCCCTACCAGTGCTTCGAGACAAACATATGGCAAGTGCTGAGAAGAAACGCCGGAGCAAACTTATGGCATGGGAGCTACATTATGAAATGGCAGAGCATACTTACTACATAGTATGAAACACAATCACATGAAATGTTTCAGTGCCGCTCCCGTTCCTCAGGCACTAATTCTGTTATGTGCTAGACTTGTAGTATCATAATATCGCATAGCAATGTCAATTTTATCGTTTCCCCCAGGTGAAAGAAAAATACTACGAGTCCAGCGGCGGCGTGTGCTCCCTACAATGCGTGTGGACGTCTCGCGCGTGCTGCCAACAGCGCGCGGGCCGCGCCGGCCGCACGCGCCCCGGCCTGGCCTTCCACTTGTGCTCAAAACGACGTGCCCGAGCGCTCCCTTTGCACGCCATACCAGAAATCCTCCGTGTGCCTTTGCAAGAGTTGTGCCTCCACACGAAGCTATTGGCCCCGCCCAATACGCCGATAGCTGACTTCCTATCACGAGCATTGGAACCCCCGTCGTTCTTAGCGGTGCGAAACGCTGTCGCCTTGCTCAAAACTCTCGGTGCTTTGACCCCTACTGAAGATTTGACCGAAATCGGCCAGCATTTATTGGACTTGACAGTGGAGCCGCGTCTAGGCAAGATGTTGTTATACGCGTGTGTGCTAAAGTGCCTGGACCCAGTGTTGACGATTGTGTGTGCGTTGGCCAATCGCGAGCCCTTCCAGATATCGATGAGCCCTGAAACCAGGAAGAGAGGAAGTGTGTCGAGAAAGGAGTTCGCCGCTGACTCGTATTCTGACCATATGGCGTTGCTGAGAGCTTTTCAGGTGAGTAATTTTGAATCTTTATTTTAGTATTGAGTATGTGTTTTTAAGCCAGTCATTGAAATCAGATTACTGTTCTGGATATGATTTAAATATTTCGAAGAATGTTTAGATTTACGGATTGTAACACAAGACGTCCACTGCCTTGCATAAGCCTTCCCCAATGACTTCCAGATTGACTGATTGGTAGCGATCATCCAACCTCTTTCTATTACCTTTATTAGGTCGTTCCACGCTACGTTTTCCAGTTTATAACGTCCACTCCAGGGGCAGCAAGGTTTGTCGCGGAAGCCTACTGCCCGTCAAAGGATGCTTACTTAAGTGAAGCAGCAAATCAAACGTACAGCTTTGAATAGAGCTCTGTGATTGGTTCGTGTGTCACACTGTGCTTCCACGCGCACTGTGAGACCTCATAGTAATGTTTGTGAATACGAGCATAAGACTACGACCAGATACTCGCGACACCACTACTCGGGCGATGACGGAACGCCGCGGAAGTTTTAGTGGGTAACCCCGTCCTTTTCAGGACGAAGCAGCGTCGGAAATCTCACACACCACCCTGTCTCCCGGCAGTGGTAAAAGCATTTCCTCCGCGACAAAATAAAGGGGACAGCAAGGTTCTGTAGTGGAGACTGGATTGTATCATCATTTCAGCCATAAGACGTCCACTGCTGAACATAGGCCTCCCCCAATTACTTCCACATCGCACGGTTGGTAGCGGCCTGCATCCAGCGCCTTTATGCTACCTTTATCAGGTCGTCGGTCCACCTTGTGGGTCGACGTCGCACGCTATGTTTTCCAGTAAGTGGTCTCCATTCCAGAGGTAGCAAGGTTCTGTAAAGCCTGGTCCGTGAGTACGTAGAATCCCGTCCAATGACCTCAAGCTGCCCATCCTTGTCGCTCGCGCGTAATTATGTTGCTGTCGCGCTCGCACACTCACTGCGGTCGCGCGTCGCACAGTCGCGATAGCAATATAATTACGCGCGAGCGATAAGGATGGGTAGCTTGGGGTCATTGGACGGGATTCTACGTGCTCACGGACCAGGCTTTAGTGTAAACCACGCACTGGATTGTAAGTAGATAAGAAAAAATTTCCTATGAATGAATGATTGTTTTTGTTGCTATAGGCGTGGCAGGCGGCCCGAGCGGCGGGTACAGAGCGGGCCTTCTGCGCTCGCAACCTCATCTGCGGCGCCACCATGGAAATGATCGTCGGCCACCGCGCGCAACTTCTAGCCCAGCTACGGGCACTTTGCCTCGTCAAGGTAACACTGGCTGTGTAGCTCTGACGTCATCGCATCATCATCTAAACTGTAGGAACCTGATCTGTCTGCCACCATGGAAATGATCGTCGGCCACCGCGTGCAACTTCTAGCCCAGCTAAGGGCACTTTGCCTCGTCAAGGTAACACTGGCTGTCTAGCTCTGACGTCATCGCATCATCATCTAAATTGTAGGAACCTGATCTGCGGCGCCACCATGGAGATGAGCGTCGGCCACCGCGCGCAGTTGTTAGCCCAGTTACGGGCACTTTGCCTCGTCAAGGTAACTACATTCTAAGCTCTCTTTGATTGGTTCACATTGAGGCGTTCACGTGGGTTGTAGGTAAATACAGCTCTCCGCACGATCTCCCACTATTTCTTTTTGTTGGTAGACTGATTGGTGCAGTTACATACGCGGTTTTCTACTGCGGTCTTTACTTGGTCAGTCACCTTTCCCTCGACGACTTTATGGAGTTGTTAGTGATACCGAGCTCTTAGAGTATGGACACATTGTTATGGCACTCCGTTCGTGATATTCCGAACATCTTCATCCAGCATCACAAGCTTTTTCGTCGTCGCATTAATCGTCCAAGAGCGTCGTGATTGTTGGAAAGTTAGAAACTTTTTGGTTAAACGCAAGAATTTAATATTTGAATTTGGCACTCCGCTGTCAATGTAAGGCTTCCAGGTTTCTGGATCAATCACTCGATCTCATGAAGTCTCTGTGTGCTCTGAAATAAATCCGTTCTAAACGTGATAGTAACCTATTAACTCGTGTCATCTGTTTCAGGCGCGCGGCCCCGGCGACATTAAAGACGTAAACGTGAACTCGGAGCGTTGGCACGCGGTGAAGGCCGTCCTCGTGTCAGGCCTGTACCCGTGCCTGGCGCGCGTGGACCGCACGGCCGGCGGCCTGCGCACGAGCCGCGAGCCGCGCGTCGCCTTCCACCCCAGGTGACACACTAGGGGCGTCATGTACCGTGCCTGGCGCGCGTGGACCGCACGGCCGGCGGCCTGCGCACGAGCCGCGAGCCGCGCGTCGCCTTCCACCCCAGGTGACACACTAGGGGCGTCATGTACCGTGCCTGGCGCGCGTGGACCGCACGGCCGGCGGCCTGCGCACGAGCCGCGAGCCGCGCGTCGCCTTCCACCCCAGGTGACACACTAGGGGCGTCATGTACCGTGCCTGGCGCGCGTGGACCGCACGGCCGGCGGCCTGCGCACGAGCCGCGAGCCGCGCGTCGCCTTCCACCCCAGGTGACACACTAGGGGCGTCATGTACCGTGCCTGGCGCGCGTGGACCGCACGGCCGGCGGCCTGCGCACGAGCCGCGAGCCGCGCGTCGCCTTCCACCCCAGGTGACACACTAGGGGCGTCATGTACCGTGCCTGGCGCGCGTGGACCGCACGGCCGGCGGCCTGCGCACGAGCCGCGAGCCGCGCGTCGCCTTCCACCCCAGGTGACACACTAGGGGCGTCATGTACCGTGCCTGGCGCGCGTGGACCGCACGGCCGGCGGCCTGCGCACGAGCCGCGAGCCGCGCGTCGCCTTCCACCCCAGGTGACACACTAGGGGCGTCATGTACCGTGCCTGGCGCGCGTGGACCGCACGGCCGGCGGCCTGCGCACGAGCCACAGAATAATAATAAGTACTACGTACAGAAAATTTTATTCGCAAAGGTATTTTAAAAAAATTGTGCTCAATGTCGTTAACAATATGGTGTAATTTAGCTTGTCTCAAGAGTCGAGCACCAATTTGTTGACAAACGTCAGTGATCGGTACTGCGCTGAAGCCATACTTCGGTAAAATGATGTGTGACGTGAGGTGCCAAACTGCGGAAAATGGCGGAGGATATACATGAATAAGCATGAATTACATTTGTGTTTCTATTATTATTCAGGCAGTTAAAATATTACTGCACAGTATTAATTACACCAATGCTCGCTCGTGTTCGTCCTGTCGATTAGTGATCTCAGGAGGTGTCGCGCGTGTTTTGTTTTCGTTGCAAACTCGCGGAGATGAACAGGCCTGGTCGTGCTCGTCTGAATGGAGACTGACAGCTGCTAATATTGTTGCAGTTCGACGTTACACCGCGGCGGCGGCGCGGCGAGCGCGAAGGCAGCGGTTCGCAGCCTGCCCGCAGACTGGGTGGCATTCGAAGAGATCTCACGCGCCGGTCGCTTCTGCTTCATCCGCTGCTGCACGCTCGTCACGCCGCTCACCGTGGCTCTGTTCGGAGGTGGGTGTCAGTGGCGGTAGATGACAAGATACTAACTATCCTCATCCTATCCAATCAGTCGGCCGTTTGGTCTAGTGGTTCAGAACGGATAACTAGGTCCCGGGTTCGATTCCCGGCCGGGCAGAAATTGAAATGATGAATTTTAATTTCTGTGACGGGTCTGGGTGTTACTATGTATAATATGTATGTATTTAAAAAAAAAAGTATTTAAGTAGTATGTCCGTTAAGCTAGCACCCATAACACAAGCATATTAATTGCTTACTTTGGGGCTAGATGGCGCTGTGTGAGATTGATAGATAGATAGAAAGATATTTATATCCTCCTATCCTGATATTCTCCTAACTATCCTCATATTCTACTAATTATCCTCCTATCCTCATAACTAAAAAACTTCAACTCATAGCGGCCATGATAGAACTCGTGAATAGAGATTGCAACCCGGTTTGTTTCTCAACCCAATGAAACCTTTAAAGAATATAATGAAAAATTTCTACACGTGTTCCTTTTACTTTCCCGTCACTTTAAGGCTATCCTATGAATAAAAACAAGTTAAAATGTTAGAAGAACATAATATGTGTTCCTAAACGCATATCTTATTAGTTTGCTCCAAAATGGACACCCAGAGAGCTGAGTGTGAGTTTACATCAAACGCGCTTACAAAAAAAGTCATTAAATGTATGACGGATTGTTCAGCGACCCTAGCGGGAACTTTCAAGAACTAAATTTTTCATACATTTTTTTAACGCGGCCCGGTGACCGGCCCATTAAGAATGAAGATTTTCGATATCTTGTGTAATGTGTAGTTTAGAAATAATCGAACGTGATTACATGTCCCTCGTGGCCCGCTAACTGCCTTAGAGATTTTTTAAAACTAGGTTAACGAAATTACAGTCACAGCTAATAAGGCGATTATCACACTGCGTACGCGGGACGACAGATTTAATCATTGTATGCAAGTACCTCAGTTTGTATAGAAAACACGCGCGGCACAACACACTGACAACGCGTCTGCGCGCGGGATTTTTTATATGAAATCACGCGGACCGCGGCGGAGCGCGGCGCAGTGTGATAATCGTCTAAATAACATTATTTTCATCCCCAGGCCCGCTACGCCTCCCAGCGGGTGCATTAACCCAGCGCGCCAACCCTCCTGGACTATCCTCGGACTCGGACTCCGACGCTGACGCAGACGCCGCGCCCGACAGTGCCACGCTCACACTTGACGATTGGACGGCTTTCGCGGCTGACGCTTCTGACGCCATCAGTGTATATTACTTACGTCAGAAGCTGTGCGCCTTGGTTGTGAGGCGCATGTCGAATCCAGCAAGACCTACTACGCCTTTGGATGAACAGATACTAGCTGCTGTGGTCCAAGGTATGTATATGCTCGACGACTGGACGGCCTTCGCGGCTGACGCTTCTGACGCTATCAGTGTATATTACTTAGGTCAGAAGCTGTGCGCCTTGGTCGTGAGACGCATGTCAAACCCGGCCAGACCTACTACGCCTTTGGATGAACAGATTTTAGCTGCTGTGGTCCAAGGTACGTATTGCAATGTTTGACGACTGGACAGCTTTTGCGACTGACGCTTCTGACGCCATCAGTGTATATTACTTACGTCAGAAGCTGTGCGCCTTGGTTGTGAGACGCATGTCGAACCCGGCCAGACCTACTACGCCTTTGGATGAACAGATACTAGCTGCTGTGGTCCAAGGTATGTATATGCTCGACGACTGGACGGCCTTCGTGGCTGACGCTTCTGACGCCATCAGTGTATATTACTTACGTCAGAAGCTGTGTGCCTTGGTTGTGAGACGCATGTCGAACCCGGCCAGACCTACTACGCCTTTGGATGAACAGATACTAGCTGCTGTGGTCCAAGGTACGTATACGCTCGACGATTGGACGGCTTTCGCGGCTGACGCTTCTGACGCCATCAGTGTATATTACTTACGTCAGAAGCTGTGCGCCTTGGTTGTGAGACGAATGTCAAACCCAGCAAGACCTACTACGCCTTTGGATGAACAGATACTAGCTGCTGTGGTCCAAGGTACGTATTGCAATGTTTGACGACTGGACAGCTTTTGCGGCTGACGCTTCTGACGCCATCAGTGTATATTACTTACGTCAGAAGCTGTGTGCCTTGGTCGTGAGACGCATGTCAAACCCGGCAAGACCTACCACGCCCTTGGATGAACAGATCTTGGCTGCTGTGGTCCAAGGTATGTATCATAACGCTTAACGACTGGACAGCTTTCGCGTCTGACGCTTCTGACGCCATCAGAGGCGCATGTCGAATCCGGCAAGACCTACTACGCCTTTGGATGAACAGATTTTGGCTGCTGTGGTCAAAGGTATGTATCGTAACGTTTGACGATTGAACAGCTTTCGTAGCAAATGCTTCTGACGCTATGAGTGTCTATTACCTGCGTCAGAAGCTGTGTGCCTTGGTTGTGAGGCGCATGTCAAACCCGGCCAGACCTACTACACTGCTGGATGAGCAGATCTTTGCTGCCGTAGTTCAAGGTATGTAACATGTCACGCTCATGGTTGAAGACTGGACGGCGTTCGCGGCTGACGCTTCTGACGCCATCAGCGTATATTACTTACGTCAGAAGCTCTGTGCCTTGGTTGTGAGACGCATGTCAAACCCGGCAAGATCTACTACGCCTTTGGATGAACAGATTTTGGCTGCTGTAGTTCAAGGTATGTATAGACAGCACCAACGCTTGGCGATTCGAAGACCAAACCAATTTATTACAATTGAACCTATTTTTAATTTATTTTTCTATTTTTAATTACTGAACTATGCAGGATACAAAAGTGAATTATTGCGTAGCGAGCAGTGTGAGAAGGGAATTTGATTTAACATTTTTGTTCATAGACTTATGTGATTAGGATCAGTATCACCCAAAGGCCAAGAGATTCATTTATAATTCTCTAATTTTATTTGTTTAATGTCAAATTCAACAGCATTTAATCTAATGCTTTTATGGTCCCATTTTATTGGTACTTATGGATCAAAATCATCATTAATTCCAGTGCTAGGCGCCGAAGAGCGCAACGTGGGTCTCAGCCAGCCAGCCGGCATTGGACAACGGCCCAAACCGCTGACAGTAGAAGCGGGCGGCTGGCGGCGCGAGGAGCCGCACTCAGAATTCGCGGCGGCCCTGAATCGCGCTCGCGGGCCCGCCTGGCGCTCGGGGCCCGCGTCGCCGGAGGGCCCGGGGGCCCCGGGGCCCGCGGGGCCCGAGGCGCGGTACTTCCTGTCGCGGGTCGATGACCTGCACGCGCTGGAGACGGCGCAGGCGACTGGAGTGTATCCGTTCGCGCAGGCCACCGCTAAGAAGCTGCTGAAGGTTAAACAGGTGAGGATGACCATGTCGTTTGACGAAATGTTTAAATATATACTCAACATCAAATAAATCGCACCTTCCGCGATGCGAACTTTAAAGATTTTCTACTGACACAATCATGGTGCCCCAACAATAATGGTGTTATTTGAAAGCCCAATAAATAAACTTAAAGAAAAACACATTTAATTTTTTTATAAACACTTAACAGATACCATAAATGTGACTTGAAAAAAGGCCTCACTTGGGGCTCACCTCTGGGAACAATCACACCAATTTTTGTGGTTATAAAACCAAATAATGATCTTACGTGTCCTTTTTAACAGATGGATAGCGATTAATCCCAATTTAACAGTTTTATAGCCATAAAAATTGGCTCAAGCGTAATTACCTATTTTTTGAAAAAGTGACTCTGGATCCTTCTAAAAACACATTTTTGGGGTAAAAACCTTTCCTTTAATGAAATGAAGTTTAGAACTAGGCTTTCAAATGGAACCAATGTTGGTGGGAAGCGGGGATGCATACGTTTGAGAAGTGCTTGTTGCGGGAGGTGCGATTTATTTGATGCCGAGTGTATTTTTGTAGCCTAGGCGCAGACCACCGCCTTGCGGGTCGGGCTGTTAATCAGTATAGAGATGTATAAAAGTGCGCACATTAAACCGATTGATTATTCATACAAATTAGTATCGGGCCCAACTATTGGCCGACTCAAAGTCGGTGGTCACTGCCAAGCTCGTATCATTCTAAACTGATAGATTTATAGATTTTGATTGCTTTTGATTTGATTAAAAGGTACAGCGCCATTTAGTTTTCAAACGTTAATGTTGCTTCCAAGTGATACATGTCTCATTAACTTGATCACTTGATTAGATACACGTTCAAATTAAAGTTCTTTATTGCTGTATGTTGGTTACATAGACGTTTTTGCCAAACTACAAACTACATAATAAATACCAATTATAAACCAATTAAAGTTCTTTATTTCTCCATGTTGGTTACATACACGTTTTTGCCAAACTGCTTATACTAATTTTAAACCAATCTTTACACTGAAGAACCATAAAGCCGGGTGTACATAAATAATTACTCTTTATTAAGTTAAGTTGTTGTTGTAAATCCTTCTGTGAATAAATTATTTTATTATTTATTTATTTTTTATTTGCCACCAGGAGGGCTCTCGCGTGGTAGTAGTGTTTAGCTGCGCGCGCGCCGGGGCTTTATTAGGCTGCGCGCGGCTACAGGATTCACCGCCGGCGTCACTTGCCCTCGAGTGGCTCAGCACGCAGCACGTGCCGCACCACGCCATACGGTAAGCACACCACGACGTAAACGACTATTATTATACCATGCGGTACATACGCAACGATATAACCCTTATTAAGACACTAGCGGCTGCCCGCGACTTCGTACGCATGGATCCCGTTTTACCCCCTTAGGGGTGGATTTTCGTAAAATCCTTTCTTAGCGGATGCCTACGTCATAACATCTACCTGCATTTCAGCCCGATCCGTCCAGTGGTATGGGCTGTGTGTTGATAGATCACTATGTCAGTCAGTCACCTTTGAGTTATATATATTTAGATGATTTACATGACTGTAATTACGCCACAGTAGTAGCTTCCCAACTTTTTATTTGTATGTACCGTCACAGAATAATAATAAGTACTACGTACAGAAGTTTTACTTCGCGAAGGTATTTAAAAAAATGTATGCTGAATGTCATTAACAATATGGTGTAATTTAGCTTGTCTCAAGAGTCAAGCAAGTTTGTCAGAAGTTTTGTTGACAAACGTCAGTGATCGGTACTGCGCCGAACAGCGCCGAAGCTATAGGGCTGACTTCGGTAAAATGATGTGACGTGAGGTGCCAATCTGCAGAAAATGGCGGAGGAAATACATGATTTAGCATGAATTAACATGAATAATATTAACTACTTATTTACCTCTCAGTGTCTTCAGGCAACTTAAAAAAGTACATTCTGTGTTTTTATTATTATTTAGGCAGTTAAATACTGCACAGTATTTAGTACACCATTTTCTTTATTTTTTTCCATCATACACAAGAATACGCGTGCGTGAGTCAATGTTCGCTCGTATTTGAGGCCTTGTCGAATAGTACTCTTGTAGGGGGCAATCGTGCGTGTTTTGTTTTCGATGTAAACTCGCGGAGATGAACAGGCCTGGTACCGTGTCGTCTGTTTAGCGATGCAAGAAATTTTAACACTTTCGTCTCGAAAAATAAAATGAAATGAATCTATTGTGATTGGTGTCCCGCATTTAATAACGTCTTAAATTTTATTCATGAAGCCATGTGAGTGATGGATATACCCTGTACATTTTGTAATAGTACGAGATGTGGATTGTGCCATTGTTTTTAAGCCCATATGACGATTCATGTCTTTTGTGTTTGTTTTTTATTGTAATGAAGCTCGTTTTTTACAAAAATGGAGTTGTGTTTGAATAATCGATCGGATTTCGTTATTCAACAGACGCTCCGCTTTGAAAACCGAGTCTTAAGCTCATATGTACTTAGTAACCTTTATGAAAAGATATGCACCACGGACAATAAACATCAATTAAGGGGGCTTATCTTATGAGCTATTCGCTACCTGCCAATAATATTTTTAAAAAATCCAGCATCTACAGCTGTTGTTCCTTGCAGGCACATAACCAACTCTCTCGCGGGAGGCGCCCGCGCGGCCGGCGCCCGCGACGGGACGGAACTGTGCTGTGCCGCCGCCCGCGCGCTGCTGGCCGCCGCGCCGCGCCGCCACACGCGGCACACGCACCATCCGCACCAGCCGCACCAGCCCAGGCCCATACAGAAGCACGAGCCGTGACACATTAGACAACTACACCCGGGGGATACCACGCGTGAAGCTGGCTTGCAGCTGCTAGCACCTGGCGCGTGAGTCACTTAAGCCTCAAGTTTGATGACCTTCGTCAGTCTGTTTCGATCGAAATCCCTGAACGCGTCAGGATTCCACCAGCACCCAGGATTATCCCATATTTGGGACAGCTAGCGAGTTTCCATCACTACTCGCCCCATACAGAAGCGCGAGCCGTGACACAACACGGAACTACACCACCCGGGGGATACCACGCGTGGGGCGGCAGCTGGCGCGTGAGACACTAAGCCTCAAATTCCCTGAACGCGTCAGAATCTTTGTTACTGTATTTAGCGGGATTATCCCGTATATGGGACAGCTAGCTATTAAGTTACCGTTACTACTCGCGCCCCATACAGAAGCACGAGCCGTGACACAACAGACAAGTACACCACCCGGGGGATACCACGCGAGGAGCAGCAGCATGCACTCTTAGTGTCTTACCGGCGCGTAAGACACTAAGAGTGCATCGGACGCATGGGGCAGCCGGCGCGTGAGTCGCTTAAGCCTCAAATTTGATGACCTTCGTCACTCAGTTTCATCTTTGTTACTTTGATCATTATTTCCACCAGCACCCGGTATTATCACAAATTTCAGACACTAATTGAGTCGACTGCGTCACACCCGCGCCATCCGCACCACCCCAGACCCATACAGAAGCACGAGCCGTGACATAACACGGAACTACACCATCCGGGGGATACCACGCATGGGGCTGCAGCTGGCGCGTGAGTCGCTTAAGCCTCAAATTCCCTGAACGCGTCAGGATTCCACCAGCACCCAGGATTATCACGTATTTGGGACAGCTAACGAGTTACCATCACTACTCGCGCCCCATACAGAAGCGCGAGCCGTGACACACCACCACGGAACTACACCACCCGGGAGTAGTTTTCCCGACCCTTTTAAGCTTCAAGTTTCATAACGCATGAGTGAGTGACCTTCGTCACTCAGTTACGTTTGAATTCCCTGAACGCGTCAGGATCCAAGTTACCCTATGAGTCCTTCGTCACTCAGATTCGATCGAATTCCCTGAACGCGTCAGGATCTTTGTTACTTTGATCATTGTTTCCATCAGCACCGGGGATTATCCCGTATTTGAGACAGCTAGCGGTTGAGTCGACTGCGTCACTCAGGTTTGCACCATCCGCGCCATACAGAAACACGAGCCGTAATACACCACGGAACCACACCACCCACTTTTATTTATTTATTTATTTATTTATATGCAACAACAGAAATTATACTAGTGATAGTGGTCTGATGTCATATAAACTAAATTGTGTGTGCAAACATAATAGCTGTACGAATTCTTATAGTATTTAACTTTAGGCCAAAACAGGAAAACCTATAAAAAATCGTGCAGTTGCCACGTTTATGTCACACGAAATTTAAGCAGCTGTTTAGATGTTCTACTATTTCTCTTTTATATCTCTTACTATTTCTGTAATACTCTTTAAAACTATACATGCCTTTAGGTCCACATGCGGTACTTTCTTTTGATTATTAGTTTGAATGTTTATTTTAGGAACAACATGCAGGCATGTTACACTATATTAAAGTTTTAAGTAATAATATTTAAAATTAAAGCAGCTAAACATTTTATTTTATAGAAAATTAGGAAGTGGCACATGTGGATCTTACTTATACTCCTTCTTTATAATATTTTAATTGTTATATGTCGTACTTAGGTCGTTCGTTTTCATTATTTAATTAGTATTTATTAGCCAAACCAAGTTTTGAATGCCCCACTATTACTAACTAAAACTCTGTATCAGTATTTTTTAACTCTTTTAACCTGCAAAGATACATACTTACAATTTCCAGGTTTTTAAGAATACTCGAGTAGGTAATATATTTATACTAAATTCTTCCATTCTTCCCAAGCCAGCAAAATTGTGACTTATAGATATGATGCTAAGTCCCAATATCCAGTGCGTGGATGACTTATCGTGGTGTCAGTATTTGGCCAGTTGTTTTAATCTAAGTAATCAATATAACTGCTTTGAATGTCGATCTATAACTCTCTTACAACATGAAAAATTTACAAGCTTTTGTTGCAGCTCATTATAATGCTTGTAGACTCATAAACTGTATTTCATTATACCCATAGTTTATGAGCTGTTAACTACTGTCCCATGCATTTCACACAAACAGTACAAGTAGGTATGCCTCTCACGTGTTATTGGGAGTAGTTATTGTTTGATAATATCTAGTTTATTTAGTTGTTGTGATGCTAACGACAATTATTAGTATACTATACTAATATGATATTTAGATTTCCAAAAAGCTTGCCTACCATGATGAGAACAGGAATGTTTGTATTGGCTTTTATATGTATACTTCAATTTTATTATTATATTAAAAAAGTGTTAAAGTAATTAATTTTATACTAACTTAACTATAGATTTGTTTTAAGTACCACTTAATTTTATTTTTCCTACACATTGTTTTGCTCATATTTTTATGTATATTTTAAGTTATTTTAGCTCCGATACTATCTCTGAGATGCATAAATAAACATATTGTTTGATCGCTAGTTTTAACTTTAAAATTGTGAAAATTGCAATAAAATAAAATTAAGACCAAATTATTTGCAATATTTTACCAGTGTCGCGTGATTATGGATGGTTGATGAGTTACAAGAATATTTAGTAGAATAACGTATATGTCCTGTTTTTACTATGCCCGTGACTCGGTGTTAGTAATACCGAGTTAGTTTTTAGAATATGCCCTCGCAGGATTAATGCTTGTTCCTTAGGTACTAGAAGATTTTATAAGTATAGATGGACTACACTGAACCGTCCCAACCACCACATTGACAGGAAGGCGCCACCATCGTTCAACTTTAAGTTTCCAATGTGGCAAAAATCGGAACTGGCGTTCCGGAATTGACGGTGGCGCCCCCCTGTCAATGTCACGGGTGGGACGGTTCAGTGTAGTCCATCTATAGTGGGTAAACACCTGCAACTTGTGTAAATATAGGTTTAATGGTGCGTGAAGTCTACTTTTGACACCAAACGAAGTAAATTGCCGTGTTTTAATATGAAATAATATGTTACTATTTTATCAAAGCTTTAGGTGGACCAATATGTAGTCCTAAGACGCATCATTTGTTTTAAATTTGTGTTGATTGATTTCTGTATCTTTTTCTACGACTGTTGTGTAGACAGCATTTTATAATATACATATACCACAGATGTAAACGGTTTTTATGTGTAGATAATGTTTTTTAAATGTTGTAAAAACTCACTTGGAAATAAATTAATCGAGAAGAGTATGACATTTTCTCAAATTTCGAGCGAAAAAATAAAATTATACTTACGATAGTGCACTTTGAAGTATTCTCACGAAGATATAAATAGTTGTAAGAGTGATGTAACCTGTGCTACAGGGATAGTTCGATGGATTTATTTATATTGCATGTTTTGTGATGCTGTTTTTACATATTTATGATAGTTTATATTGTGTATTAATTTATAGTTTGTTTCTGTTGTTGTCGCGAATGAGCAAAACGACATCATAACTTAATGCCTACTTATGTAGGGAGTTGTCAGGAGCATAGACAATATCAAAGATATAGTATCTGTCGTCTTTTTTTATTCATTCGTGACATATAATTTAAAACGTACTATACTTAGTGGTAGCACTGCAATAATGAAATGAAATAAGATGTTAAAAACACAATCGCATGATTGTTATAAATAAATAAACTGATATTATCTATTACGTTTGCATTTTATATTCATTATAAGTCATCGTTGGAATGTTATACCATCTTAAATTTACCATATGAATGCTTTAATAGACCCATATGTTATACGAATAGCAATACCACATAACTACACACTAACCTTTGAAGTTGAATTAGAAGTCCGGTAGTTGGATAAGTAATTGTTATACGTTATATTGTATACTATGTATATTATAGTATATATTTTCACTACATTGCACATTTGGATATCAATATTTTTGAAAGTTTAAACCAAACTGGGTTGTGATGGAAGAAGGTTGGTACTTATAAACAGACGGCTCTAAGACAGTAGGGCTACCATTCGACTTGTAAATTGCAGTTATGATACAATTAATATTATGACTGCAATGATACCAGTTATTCTGTCAAGAGCCCAACAAATAGACCACAATACTGCGCAACGACTATTTGATATCAATAAAATAAAAAAAGGCTTTCTCTTTTTCGTCTTAATTCTGAAGAAACGGCAAGACTGAGTCCTGTTGTACATAATGTATCGCCCCATTAACTTTAACGGTCTATGGATATTATATCTTAACATAAACGTTTATTCATTTAACTGAGGCGGAAAAGAGAGGGCCTTAAAAAGTACGGAGAAATTAATTATAAGACCGCAGTAACTCAAATGCCTTTGGAGAACTTAAACACTTATATTCTAGCATGTTTTTGAATTTCAAACTTTTTAAATCGGTTTCATACCGACTGTAATGGACAGACAAGATGTAACACATAATAAGCGAAAGTTGTTTCAATTTTAATAAACTATATTCAAGAGCAGAATCACAATTTTTATTTCTTCATCGTGTTTGTAACATTTTGATATATTCTGAGATAGGATTAAAATACCAATTGGCAGGCCGCTACCAATCGATCAACATGGAAAGCATTGGGGGAGGCCTATGTTCAGCAGTGAACGTCCTATGGCTGAAATGATGATGATGATGATGATGATTAAAATAGCAAAAAGTAAACATTAAAAAACACTTTATCAAGTCTTTTAGTTTTTCTTTGTACAAAATAATATACTTATTGTACTTAGCAATACCCTTAACAATACTTAACATTAAGATCAACCAATTAATTTGAAACCATTCATTTATTTCAAAATTAAGGAAGATTCGCTTTTACTTACTTGCAGGAGAAAATACCTCTTTTAGAGGTGTAAGTCTTTTAAAATAACACTTGTAAAGTAACAAGGACTCTTCAGAGTATTTGCTCTTTATGTAGATGCACGCATTGAAAACCACTGGTACATTGTGCGATATGTTTCAATGAGGGTTTTCGCGAATAAAAAATCCGCCAGATGGCAATACGTAGACGCGAGGTCCAAATGCTGCATGATTGGTTATTTTTGACATGACATTGACAGATATGTCACAATCCACCAATCACGCAGCAGTCAGACCCCACATCCACGTCCCGCCATCTAGCGGATCTTTCATTCGCGAAAACCCTCATTGGCAGCATTGGAATCACTTCTTCCTGACGCTGAATCAGGAGCTCGTTTGAGGGCTTTGAGTGGCTCACTTCTATATCACACGCTCCTTGACAGTGGGATTGTTGTCAACATTTGGGTGTGGCTATTTGATCGATGCTCGACGGCAGAGGGTGGATCACTTAACTCTATGGCCTGCGCCAGCGCTTGGCTCACTTTTGTATTGTGCTTTCTTCGATAGCAATGGATGGTTTATTCGTGTAACAGTAGTAACATAGCTCACTCCAGTTTGACGCGTTCCTCGGCAGCAGAGGGCACGTCACTGATTCCGTGGCCCGAAGCGGCTGACGCTCACTTCTGTATTGTTATCACTTGTTTGTGTGGGTCACGACATTATTTGCGCGGGGCTCACTCTACGACGTAGCAGAGGTTGCGTCACTCCACTAGCTGCCTCACTTCTGTATGACGCGCTCCTCGATGCGCTGCTGCTGCTGCGGGCTCTGCAGCTGGGCCAGCGTGAGCAGCGACACGCCCAGCTGGTCTCGAGGCTGCGTCACTAGCCCTGCTGCCTCACTTCTGTATGACGCGCTCCTCGATGCGCTGCTGCTGCTGCGGGCTCTGCAGCTGGGCCAGCGTGAGCAGCGACACGCCCAGCTGGTCTTCGCGCGTGAAGGGCTGCGCCATGGCTCGCAACCAACGTTTGCAGATCTGGAAATAAAAAGGTTTTGTTCAGATCACGTTGGCTACGAGTGTTCCTCTCTCCTAATGAGGGCTATTGTTTTTATACTTAACAGTTGGCACCCCTGGCGATTGACAGGACCTTACTCTACAGTGGCGCCATCTTGATGAGTGCAAATGCGATAGTCCTCCTACCACTTTAGCGCTCACCAGTTGGTGCCACTGTCTTCGCGACTAGCAAGTGAACCTTACTCTACAGTGGCGCTAACTGGTGTGCGCTAAAACGATAGCCCTCATTGAGATCACGTTAGCTACGAGTGACTAGGTCTACACCGACGCTAGCGCAACAGATGTTTATGCTCCGACAGAGATGTGCAACTAAGACGGGAGATCGCGATTGTTACTTGTCTTCATCATCATGCAATCATCATCATCTCAGCCATAGGACGTCCACTGCTGAACATAGGCCTCCCCCAATGCTTTCCATGCTGCCCGGTTGGTAGCAGCCTGCGTCCAGCGCTTTCCTGCTACCTTTATGATGTCGTCGGTCCACCTAGCGGCTTGAACAAGCTACACGTGTGGCGAGCAAGCACGTGCAAGTTAAATCCTTGGACAAATAATCGCTAGTATAAGGCTCCCAAACAATTTCAAGTACAAATGAATACCTGCACAGCCTCCTCTGTGCTGAGGTTGCAGAGGGAATCCTTTAGATGTTCCTGTATCCAGCGCGGCAGCTTGCAGCGCTTGTCGGCGCGGCTGAAGCGCTTGTCTGCGAAAATCATGATGCCGTAGTCCGTCTTGCCTCTGTAATGGATGATACGGTTGCAGGTTCGATTCTCGATAGGAACAATACAACATTTAAAAAAATTAAAGCCTCCTTTAGAATTTGTCACGTAAGAAGAAAAAGTAAATTGTTTACTATATTACCTCAAAGCTCTCCCGACGCACTGCGCAGCGTGACGCATTGCATCGAAAGTTAGGAAGTCATTTTCTCGAATCTGAAAAACAATAGTTTTCATTCAAATGGTCGAATTGGTGTCGAATGTCGGCCGTTTGGTGTAGTGGTTCAGAACGGACTACTATGCCGAGAGGTCCCGGGTTCGATTCCCGGCCGAGCAGAAATTGAAATGATGAATTTTAATTTCTGTGACGGGTCTGGGTGTTTTCTATGTATAATATGTATGTATTCACAAAAAAAAAGTATTTAAGTATGTTTATATCCGTTGTCTAGTACCCATAGTACAAGCTTTGCTTAGTTTGGGGCTAGCGGCGCAGTGTAAAATGTCCAAGGATATTTATTTATTTTATATTTAATTGGCGAATTTAGATGAATGTTAGTTCAATCGAAGTCGACCGCTGTTAGAAAATGAACCCACTCTCTAACAAGCATAATATTTAGTTTATTAGGATATTATATGCTACTTATTTTACTACTTATAGAGGCATACCGTATACCCAGTAGGTTTTGCGGTAGTAGAGCGGTACGAGAGAGATTTGTTTTTGTTTAGTGTCAATTTTATTCATGTGATATTGGAATGCAGTGTTGCTACACTGACGAAAAAGCTAAAGTTCGTTGCCATTACCAAAAGAAGAAGGTACTTGTTACGTAGCATCCGCATTGCTCCACAACCCTAGGAATTTACTGACTTATGTGCTAGTAAAGCCTGGTCCGTGAGCACGTAGAATTTTGTCCAATGACCCCAAGCTACCCATCCTTATCGCTCGCGCGTAATTATGTTGCTGTCGCGACTGTGCGACGGGCGCCCGCAGTGAGTGTGCGAGCGCGACAGCAACATAATTACGCGCGAGCGATAAGGGTGGGTAGCTTGGGGTCATTGGACAAAATTCTACGTGCTCACAGACCGGGATTTTTTAACATTAGAAAAGAGTGTTTCTGTAAAATAAATAAGCAGCCGTGTGTACCTGGAACTGGTCTCGGAGGTAGTCGAGGCGCGCCTTGAGGATGCGCGACTGCGTGAAGACGTAGGGGATGCCGAACATCAGCACGCAGCGGCCCAGGTGGTGCTCGAAGTCCACGCCCTCCGACACCTTGCCGCGGGCCACCGACAGTAGTACTGCCCCTCGGCCGCTCTCGCACGCCTAGCCATTGAAAAACATTGTAATTTCTATAGTCTGGTCTGCGAGCACGTAGAATTTTGTCCAATGACCCCAAGCTACCGCGAGCGATAAGGATGGGTAGCTTGGGGTTATTGAACAAAATTCTACGTGTTCACAGATCGAGCTTTAGTACATTAGACAGTCCACGCCACCACTTGTCAGAGTAGCACCGCCCCTCGCCCAATTATACCCAAATAAGGTGCCATTGGTTGTTATAGATGACCCACGCTGAACTGTCCCACCAAACTCAATGACAGGGGGGCGCTACCATCGTTCAACTATATGGTTTCCAACATGGCAAAAATCTGAACCAGCGATCTGGTATTGACGGTGGCGCCCCACTGTCAATGTCATCGACAGGACAGTCCAGTATTTTGGAAAGTTACATTATTTTAGTGGCAAGTTATATCTGAAGCCCAATATCCTGGGATGGACACGGGACCATTCTGGGTTATGGCTGGTTGATAATAATAGGAGGATACACATTTAGACCTATTGATGTTCGCATAATTCTCCCTTACAACATCCACAGAAAGAGTGAGGGTAGTCTTTATTCTATTCACTGTAGCATAACTAAATAGGCAAGCAATTATAGGACAAATCGCTTCATGATTAACCTGAAGCATCTGAACAAAGTCAAAGCTGAGCATTTATCGGAACTAATCCCACTTTTTATTCCTATCGCTGGACCTCCTGTACAGCCAGGATCTCAGAGCATAGTTAAACTGTTATTGTATCCGAAACTTACCTTGATATAATTTATTAGCGCGAAACTTGTCTCGGCCGAGTCTTGCGTCTCAATAAACAGCAGTTTATGCCTTTGTAAACTCGCTACTACACCTGAAAACACACAAAATTATGGGTAAAACAATACTAATGTGTATTAGAAACAATAAAATATAAAATTGATTGAGCACTTAATAAAAGTAAGAATACCTTGATCGTACCAGGCGCCGACCACGCTCTCGAGGTACATGTAGGATGTGAAAAAGCACACTACGCCGTCTGGCACGCACGCCGAAATCTACACACAAATAATAAGAAAATAGATAAATTAATGTCGGCTCCACACGTTGGATGTAGTTGGATTCGTCAAACGTATGGACGGAGTAAATACAAATGAGTAGGTCATATTCATAGAAACGCACCGAGCGCGGTTTGTATGTGAGCGCGCCAATACGTATGCGGCGCGCACGCACACACTGACAAAATTTAGCGGGGTGTTGCGCCGAATTTTGACCTACTTATTTGTATTTACTCTGGTATGATTTAAAATAAATGAAAAAGATTTTAATTTTAGGGCCAATAGTGCGTAAAGTTTAAAGTCCGGTCACCGAGCACATAGAATTTTCGTCTAATGACCCCAAGCTACCCATCCTTATCGCGCACGTGTAATAATATTGCTGTCACGACTGTGCGACGGACAGCTACAGTGAGTGTGAGCGCGACAGCAATATACGCGTGAGCGATAAGGATGGTTAAAGTCAAAGTCAAAATTTCTTTATTTGTTTAGACTAATAAATAGTTCTTACAAATCGTCATTTTGCTCTTAAGGAGCCTCTACATGTCTCATAATCTTTTTACCCTACCAGCGCTTCGAGACCAACATTTGGCAAGTGCTGAGAAGAAGCGCCGCAACAAACTCAGTCACCACTGTCTGCCGGTTAATATAAATAAATATAAATAGTAGTAGTAGGTACATTCGATTCAGGAGCAGTTCACTGAATTTACCATGCATTCTTGTATGGTGTATCTTATAAGAATGGGTATACAAGATTGCGTGGTATATTAAACAAGGTAGTGACGTGCTAATATCTAGACTTACATATTAAGATACTAGTAGAAATGACTCGCATACATAAATTTGAATAACTTGGATTGACCAGTCCCCGAAAGCAGCGCCTGTTCACAGACATGACGAGTGAACCAGCCATCGCTTCACTCGACCATATTAGAGGGAATGTAACGACCCGCCTCACTACGCCACCACCCCAGAGACATTTTAGTGAGAATGACAATTCCAAGTTATCTCTTTAAAAAAAACTAATAGTAAAGCTAAGTAACAGTCCAGATTGAGAAGCATGACACTATAACATTTGAGAAATTATTATTAGTTTATACATTACTTTCCATTTTAATTATTTTTAGTGCGAGCATGAGAGGACCATAATCCTACTCCCAGGATGACTTATCATTAAGAAAATCTCGAGTTGTATAATAGGCTTTTTTAAGCATGTGATCTTTAACTATACCTTTAAATTTATTATACGGTAGCTCTTTATATTTATCAGGGACTTTGTTATAAAAATGGATACCTTGTCCCATAAAAGTGGCAAACACTTTATTAAGTCTAAAAGCGGGTATAGCCAATTTATTTTTATTTCTAGTGTTAATTTGGTGAATATCACTTTTCTTTTTGAATTCATTAATATTTTGTTGTTAGCTTGGGATCATTGGACGAAATTCTATGTGCTCGGCGACCGGACTTTAGAGCACTAACCTCGACGAGCAGCTGTCCGTAGTTGCGGATGACGGCGACGTCTTCGCGCGTCTCGTACTTGGACGAGATGGCCACCTGGTCGCTGCCTTTCGACACTATCTGGAAATGCACCCTATTGTAATGTCGCCATGAATGCAATTTGAAGAAATATTTATAAAGAAGAAGACCTCCCACTAAGTGGACCGACGATCTGGTGAAGGTCGTGAGAAGTCTGGATGCGGGAGGCGCAGGACCGGTCGTTATGGAAATCCTTGGGGCAGGCCTTTGTCCAGCCATTTAATCAGGATATACCTCTTAGTTTAAAAGTTATTACGTTTTCTTTACAATAAGTAATTGGAAGAAAAAAAATCTATGAAAATTAAAAAAAAAACCTCTTTTTTGTCGATATAAATAGGTCTTGTTTCATCTATTTGCATATGTGCACTTTATCGTGACTCACACTGTATCTGTCGCTCATACTGGCATCACGCTTTGAATAAAAGGGATTGAAAACATTGGAAACTTCGAAAAACGTCAGGAGGAGCTCCGCTGGCTTACTATTCAAAGGAAAAATTCTAAATTCGTCAAGATTCGAAAAATTAAAAATTCTAAGCGTCGGGGCACGCGTGGCTCTATTAATGCTGAGCGGGCGCCTTTTTGGCACAAAAATATGCGTGTATAGTTTTAAGTCCCTTTGTTCTGTTTTTTATTTTTTTCTTTTTGTGTCAAATAAAGTTTTTCTTATTCTTAATCTAAATTGTTTCGGGAATTTCCGTATATTAAATTAGCAGTAAGTAAATCAAAATAATTATTGAACCTACTTTTAAATACGGATGGAATAGCTCACCATGGGTAAGATACAGGGCCTGGCCAGCGTCATGGTGAAGGAGCTCATGATGACGGGGTTGAAGTCCAGGATCTTGGGGTACATGTCCAGCGGAGACAACGTTCCTGCAACATTTGTTATGTTTGTGTAAAGTAAATACTTTTTACTTTAAGGTCTATGGTTTGTCTATGACTTTGACGTCTATCAAATGAATGTCACATTGAAAAGTCATTGTGGAAAATAAGAAGATATTTTAAGAGATAATAATAAACTTTAAATGTCTTTTCTTTTATTTTACAGGTTTGTGTTATGGCCAATGAATGAGGAATTTAGTTTATTTCAATGAGAAATGTATTCATATTGAATAAATCTTTTATTTTACAGAGCAACACATGCGTTTATTTTATCTCTGAGAAAGAGTACATTATGAAACGACATTTAAAGTTTATTATTATCTCTTAAATTATCTTCTTATTTTCCACAATGCGTTTTCAATGTGTTCATTTGATAGACGTCAAAGTCATAGACAAACCATAGACCTTAATGTAAAAAGTATTTACTTTACATTTGTTTGATTTTGGCAGAGAAAATGTTTAAAATTCTTATTGATCGTTTCATCCACGAAGACGCGCCCCACCATTCTTCCGCAAATATTTGAGTGTTGTCGGTGCACGCTAAATTATCCATGAGTGCACACGCACACTACAATAATGCCTTACGGATTGCTCGGATCAAACTCCCCGCACCCCGCGCGACCGAGACCAAAAATTCGTGGATTAAACTAGGGATGTTATGGATATGTAGTTTCGGTTATGGATACGGTTACGGATATAGGAATAATATTATACCTGTTTCGGTTACGGTTACGGATATTCATAACATCCCTGGATGAAACGATCTACACCCTAGATCGCACCATCTTACTTTAACTATCGTCAAAAGACTGTCAAACTCCACATAAAAAACACCAATTATCGTAATAGTTACGGTTAAAGTTAGATGGTGTAACTTAGCGTTAGTTGCATTATGTCTTAAAGCGTGACATTACCTGACGTTATGATCACCGTTTGAAACCTGGAGAATACTGGTCGCATTGCTATCGACGAGTCCATACATCTAAAAGTAAATACATAATATGTCAATATAATTCCATGCTTCAGGTCAGTAAAAGAACATTGGAGCTACTATGTACTGCTAAGATTCCTATTTACTGAATAAGGATCGCTGAAATGATTTAAATTCGAAGTGAATATTGATTATAGCTAAGCAAGTATAGCTACAGTACAACCCGGTTGAGTTAACTGCGCATCTGGCGATCGTGACGTTAGATCGACGCTTTGGTACGGACGGAGCGAATCAAAATCAAAATCAAAATCAAAAATATTTATTCAGTTTAGACCACAAGTGGCACTTATGAACGTCAATAGAAAATAATAAAAAAGAAAAAGGTAGCCCTTATGGGGCACTTTACATGTCTCCTTATCTTTTGGGCCCTACCAGCGCTTCGAGACAAACATATGGCAAGTGCTGAGAAGAAACGCCGGAACAAAAATGCGAGGAGTAGGGGTACTCAGTTGAGTACTACTCACCCGTGGGTGGGAGTCGCATTCTAGCGAGATGCGCGGTTAGCTTGATCGAGTTGTATAATGTGGCAAGCCAGATAATAATGTAAGCGAAAGGTCACTGACTGACTCACTCACTCATCACGAAATCTCAGAAACTACAAGTGCTAGGAGGACTCCTAGTTTTTTTTTTTTTAATATCTTTGGACAATCTCACACAGCGCCATCTAGCCCCAAAGTAAGCAATTAATATGCTTGTGTTATGGGTGCTAGTGTGGTGACGGCAGAGTAGAATACATTTGTCACCAACCCCTACTCTTCCCGCGGGTGTCGTAAGAGGCGACTTAGGGACTACACATCAAACAGAGAACGGGCAGCAGCGCTCTCTGACAAACATCAATCTTTTAAACTGCGATCTCCAACCCGCCTGCCAAGCGTGGGGATTATGGCAAAACCCTCCACTATAGTGGAGGAGGCTCATAGTCCAGCAGTGGACTGTAAAGGGCTGTTGATGATGGGTGCTAGCTTAACGGATATACTACTTATTTTTTTTTTTAATACATACACACATAATATTAGTTTTTTAGTTTAGAACATAGGTGCACAGTGCACACTAAGAACGAATTTTACGAAACTCCACCCCCAAGGGGGTAAAACAGGATCCACGCGTATGAAATCACGGGCGGCCGCTGTATTTTATTATACTTACGAAAAATGCAATATCGGGTTCGACACCGTCGGAGTCTTATCGTCAAACGGCTCTATGATGATCGTGAATCCTTTGGTATAAGTAGACACTAGTGTTGCCAAGTGCGTGACTAAGGTCAAGGCGGAGAAATTGCTCGGGTCTGGAATTTCTAGCGTCTTCATGAGCGAAGACAGTCGGGTGGCGCAGAATCGGAGCGGCTTGCGTTCGATGCACACGCGAGCCGCCACGTCTTTTAGGAAACCTGGCCGGGTTATACAGGGTTAGTTAAGGACCAACAACAAGATGAATAAGGTAGGCAAGCTATATTTAAAACGTGGCTCTGAAAAGGACTTGCACATAAAAAAACCTTTTGTTGTGATTTTTCAGATTAAAAATGTGCATTTTTATAGGCTTCCTTTTCAGAAGGGTTCTAGTCTACCTATAATTCCAAACAACTTTTACTTTGAGATCAATAATATCACCAACATGTAAAAGTCATGTAAAAACAACCTTTTTGAAATGTATCATCAGTTTTAAAATAACCCTGTCTACAGACACATTTTTATTCTGGAAAATTCATAAATTATGTCACAAGTGAGGCGATTATCACACTGCGCTGCGCTCCGCCGCGGTACGCGGGACGACAGATTTAATAATTGTATGCAAGTACCTCAGTTTGTATAGAAAACACGCGCGGCACTTCACACTGACAACGCGTCCGCGCGCGGGATTTTTTATATGAAATCACGCGGTCCGCGGTGCAGTGTGATAATCGTCTGAAAGTAGGATATCAAGTGTATTTTATTGTTAAAGACAAGTTGTTAAAAACCTTCACTCGAATGGAGAAAGTTATTATTTTTTAATTATTTTGGACCTTCAACACAAGGTAACAAAGTTGAAATTGCTGCGTACCGGCGGGCGACTCCTGCACGACGTGCTGGATGCGCAGGCGCGTCTTGAGGTACTCGATGAAGCGCTTCAGGAAGCTCAGGAAGTGCTCCGCGTTGCGGATCGTGCCCGGGACCACCTCTAAACATTCACACAATTCACTTATTACCTGTAAATAGGCTTTAAAAAACCCAACTGCGTAAAAATGAACTAAATGAATGAAGTAAAAGTGCTTTTTAAAAGCCTATTTGCAAAAATAAATGAGTTTTATGAGTTTTTTTTTAAAAAGATAAAAATAAGCCTTACTGTTGTTCACAAATGCAGTTTGTTGGTGATATTATGTATTTGATGCCTCCGACTGCATTTGTGAACACTAAGGTTTATTTTTATCTTTTTAGTTATTTTTTACGCAGTTGGGTTTTTTTTTGAATAAACATTTATGTTATTTATTATTCAATAATAATTTTATTTTAGTCTTTTTAGTTAAATAACATAGATTTTTGTAAGCTACTTAAAAAGCCCTTTATTTTGATATCCCACTCGATTTTTTGGAAGATATAATGGCGTCTTAAATCCGCCATTTTGATTTTATAGCCAGTGTCACTCTCACGATTAAGACGAATCTAACGACACCTCTCACGCTAAAATCGGTCTGATTTGAACTGTGATTTGAACTGAAATGATTGAGTCTGACTTATGGCTCGGAAACGTGGCCTCTCACTATAGGCCTTATACAGAAGCTTAAAGTTGCACAGCGTGCTATGGAGAGGGCTATGCTCAGTGTTTCTTTACGAGATCGAATCAGAAATGAGGAGATCCGTAAACGAACTAGTCGCTGACATAGCCCGACGGATTAGCAAGCTGAAGTGGCAGTGGGCAGGGCACATAGTACGCAGAACTGACGGCCGATGGGGCAGCAAGGTTCTGGAATGGAGGCCGCATACCGGAAAACGCAGCGTGGGACGTCCTCCCACAAGGTGGACCGACGACCTGATAAAGGTAGCAGGAAGGCGCTGGATGCAAGCCGCTACCAACCGTGCGATGTGGAAGTCATTGGGGGGGGCCTATGTTCAGCAGTGGACATCCTGTGGCTGAAATGATGATGATAATGATGATTGAGTCTGAAACGACGAAATGATTTGATGAAGATGAGGCTTACCGTTGAGCACCTCATCGGGCAGGATAGGGTTGCCGAGTATAGTGTCAGTGTCTCGAGCCACGGCCGCCTCACGTAAGCCTGAGACTAACTGCTCATACTCTAGCGTCAGCCGCGCCGCGTCTTCTTCGCGAATCCTATGAAAAGATGCAAACCATTTTAGAATCTATGTATACGTCCATAATAAAGAATAAAGACCATACACCATAACTGCAAGGTGGATCATTACTCAATCATTTATTACATCCTACTTCCTTCCTACTATCCTACTTAATCCTACATCCTACTAATATTATAGCCATGATGTCTGGATGTTTGGATGTCTGGATGTTTGTTACTCTTTCACGCAAAAACTACTGAACGGATTTTGTTGAAACTTTACAGTATTACTGTTTATAACCCAGATTAACATATAGGCTATAATTTATGACGATCTGTGACATACTAAATGTCACGCGGGTGAAACGGCGAGCAAAAGCTAGTAATATTATAAATGCAAAAGTTTGGATGTCTGGACGTTTGTTACTCTTTCACGGAAAAACTACTGAACGGATTTTGATGAAACTTTACAGTATTATTGTTTATAACCCAGAATAACATATAGGCTATAATTTATGACGATCTGTGAAAAACGAAATTTCACGCGGGTGAAGCCGCGGGCAAAAGCTAGTCCATTATAAACTTTAAACTAGAACATTATGGGTCCTGTAGGGCACGGCAATGAGGGCTATCGTTTTTTTACCTAACAGTTGGCACCCCTGGCGATTGACAGGACCTTACTCTACAGTGGCGCCATCTTGATGAGTGCAAATGCGATAGTCTTCCTACCACTTTAGCGCTCACAAGTTGGCGCCACTGTCTTAGCAAGTGACAGGACCTTACTCTACAGTGGCGCCAACTGGTGAGCACTAAAACGATAGCCCTCATTAGGACAGAGCTGAATGAACCCAGCTGGCCAGGGAGAGTAAGCCAAGTCCTTCCTCTTGCCTCTGGTAAATTAGAAAGGGTAGATTTAATAAAGCATAGATTATGAACATAGCTCACTGCGCCACAGTCTTCTCCAGCTGCTGTAGCGCCTGCGTCCTCTTGTCTATGGTCCGGCGAGTCACCTTCACGCTCAAAGAGTCGATGCACACTTGTCTATGGTGTGCGCCTCAATATAATAGTAAAGCATAGTTAACAAACATAGCTCACTATGCCACAGTCTTCTCCAGCTGCTGTAGCGCCTGCGTGCTCTTGTCTATGGTCCGGCGAGTCACCTTCACGCTCAATGAATCTATGCACACGTTGTCTATGGTATGCACCTCAATATAATAGTAAAGCATAGATAATAAACATAGCTCACTGTGCCACAGTCTTCTCCAGCTGCTGTAGCGCCTGCGTGCTCTTGTCTATGGTCCGGCGAGTCACCTTCACGCTCAAAGAGTCGATGCACACGTTGTCTATGTTGTGGGCCTCGTCGAACACCACCACCGCCTCCTTTTGAAGCTCCTTGGATACCACTTCGGCTATCTTGGGGTCAAGGAGATAGTGGTAGGAGTACACTATGATCTCTGCGTGGATTATCTGTGGAAAAAAAACATTCACCATCAGTTTTACAAATTAGTATATCAAGAAGTCTGTTATCTACTATATAAAAATAAGTCAGGTTTTCCTTCCTGACGCTACAACTCCAGAACGCACAAACCGATTTCCACGGTTTTGCATTCGTTGGAAAGGTCTTGGGCTCCGTGAGGTTTATAGCAAAGAAAATTCAGGAAAAATTAAAAAGGGATAAAACGGGATCCACGCGTACGAAATCGCGGGCGGCCGCTAGTTTTTTATACAATTGCATTTCAGACTATTAAAAAAATTACATATAATCATGAATGATGAAAGAACATCAAATCTTACATTTATTATTATTATTATTATTATTTCGTTTTTGGTCTTATGATCAGGTGATAACCATGTCCATTTTCTAGAAGCCTTTTTCTTGAAATATGTGTTCATGATTGACAGTTTGTTTTCATATGCATATTGTATTAGGCGTTCACCTCTGGAGTTCCGTACGCCATAACCATATTTGCCCATTATTAAATTTTCTTGGGGATTTGGTTGTCCAATTTTAGCGTTGAAGTCTCCCATGAGTAATCTATTTTTGTCAGCCAGTTCTTGCGCATTTGTTAAGTCATTGTAGAATTTTGTGATGTCTTCTTCGCTTGAACTCTCAGTAGGAGCATACACTTGGATCAGCGATAATGGTCCTTCCTTAAAGTTCATTTTTAGTAAAGCTACTCTCTCTGATATGCCCAAAAAGCTTTCTATATGTTCTTTTAGTGATTTTTTTATTAGGAAACCCACGCCATGAAGTCCCCGTGTCTCTCCCATATAACAAAATATATAGTCTTTATGTTCTTCTATGATGCATCCCATTTTTTTAACTTCTGCGAGTCCCATGATATCCCATGTCACTTTATCTATTGCATTGTTTAGTTCAAGGATTCTTTCGTTTGTAGATAGGGATCTAACATTGAATGTGCATATTTTTAATCCTTGTTCTCTGCTCGACTTACTACTCTTGCTTAAGGTTTCATTGTTTTCATTTTGTTGGTTTTTATTTGATGGAGGGTGGTGGTCTACTTCCCCCGCGGTGACCAGCCGTATTGGGAGAGAGTTTTTGTTGTGTAAGATGTTGTTATCGTTTACTGTAGTTAAGTTTCCGTTTCCGGTGTGATGAGTTGCATTTGTTCTATTAGTTCCTGGATTCGTTTGAAGTGGAGTTCGGTTTAGCACGAAATGTATCGAATCTCTTGTTAAGTTTTTTTGGAGGGGCAGCCGCTATGTTTTTTGTGTCTTTCTGATTTTCTTTTGGTGACTTAGATGGTGATCTTTTTCTTTTAGTTTCATCTACATCTCTATCCTTGACTATGAGTTTGTCGTATCTTATAAACGCTATCTTCCCTTGCCTTTCTTCTTGCTCTTTTTTCTCCTTTAGTTCTTTCCTTTTTATAAGGATATCTCTCGGGTAGTCTTCAGTGGCATATATGTCCGATGGAAAGTTTTTATTGTTTTTCAGGACTTCGTACTTTCGCCATGTCAGTGTAAGAGTTATGAGTATTGGTCTTTTTTTCTCGGTATTTTTCTTCCCAAGTCTTCTCACATTGCTGATTTCCCACTTGTCCCAGTCTTGCATTCCTTCGACTTTTTGGGAAATTTTATTTAATATCTCTATAACTATATTCCTGAGATCACTATCGTTTGCTTCATTTTCAGGAACGCCGTGTAATATAATGTTGTTTTTCCTAGTTTCTCTTTCCAAGGTTTGTACTCGCGATTGTAGGTTTTGAACTTCTTCTTTTAATTTTATATTCTCGTCTAAAAGTGGTTTTAGCTTTTCATCTATTGTTTTTGAGAGGCTTCTGTTGAAACTTTCAGCTAACTTTTCATTTTGCATTTTGAAGTCTGTTTTCATTTCTTCCATTTTTGCTAGTATCACTTTCAAGTCCATTTCTACTATTTGGTAGATTTATTTTGTTCCTGGCAATAGTTTTGCTGTGGCAACACTGACCCTGTGACAGTTGGCCGGAAATCGTTCACCGCTCTTTATTTTGTTTGGGGTTTAGTGGGTAGTTTTCAAGTGATTTTTATGTCACTGTGTTGTTGGATGATTTCTCAAATATTTCACACGCGGAATATTCTCGTTGCGCCTGATATTCAGCGAAGATAACACTTGTGGTTAAAGTTACACCAGTTAACTATAGTTTTCAGTGGCATACGGCACTAATCGCGCACTTTAGCACTGTGTATTTACGATTGTAATCAGGAACCTCAATTTACGTTGTGAACTGTTTGACAGCCGGAAACGAAATCTCTTACATATCCCAATGATTTCCACTATTATAAAATTGATACAGTATTTTTTATAAATGAACATTTATTCCTACTAATTTGTCTTGTTAGCAGACAGATCAATTACAGCATCAATTCTTCAAGTATATTTCATATTAATAAAAATATGACTCACTGCAAATCTAGCTAAGAAATATGGGCACCAGTTTCTGTCAGCACCGTACTGCTTCAAATCGTCAATGGTGTACACTCCAAATGGTAGCATTGACTCTTTGCCTTCCCTGTTGAACCCTTCGTAGAACTGGCCTGCAATTTGACAAATGTTTTTGACAATACCTTTATTGTTTTATGTGCCAACTCATGGCTGTATAGTAATGACAATAGAATGGAAATTATTTGAAACTAAAATAATCACTTTGATATATTTACTTACATATTGGTACAGTACTGTCGCGCTCATGCCTCTCTCGTATGTAACTGGCAGTCAGGGCATGACATTTGCCATCCACTAGCTTGCCTTCTCTTTCTCTCGAAACCTAAAATTGCGAGAAGTTAAAAAATTTCATTGTAAATTTTATTGTGTTACCTAATACATTCATAAAAATAGTTTTGATTGTGAAAATGTTCAATGAAAACTTTTTTACAGGCAGGAATACATTATTAGTCCTATACATAGGAGCTAGTAAAAAAATCTTACGTCAGGGTGTATGCACAGATTCTTGCGGGATGTGAGCACAACTCCAGTGAGACTCGGCTTCTCACCCTGGCTCTTCTCGTAATATTTGATCAGGTTTTTGAGCTCCTCCAGAACCTTTTCAATCTCTGGCACAGTTCGGGAACAGTAGATTAGTTTCCTAAAACATTTATCATTGCATTTTATAAGAAAAAACAGTTTAATTAAATTTGTAAGCAAGTATTTAGTTAAAACTAAAGTAAATTAGTATGTTTTAGACATTTCTAACAATACAGCTCTCATCATTGATGAGAATTTAAAGCACTCTTAAGATTTTTCAATAGACAAAAATTCTGTAGGTTTTGGTTTCTTACCTAACATGATGTGGATTCTGGATCATGTAAGCCACAATCAAAGATAACAGTGAAATGGTTTTTCCTGTGCCTGAAGGCATTTCTAGCAATCCATGACCCTGGAAAAGAGATGAATCAAACATAATATTGAAAAATTTTTTTGGTGCATTCAGTTTTCAAATCTTAAATTACTTAAAATATTCTCCGACTTACTTTAGCATCCAAGGCACGTTTAAGCTCCAGCATGTAGGCATATTGTTCGGGATAAATGTAATCGTACGGAAAATAAACCAACAGTCCATCAACAGTTAACCTAAAATCACAAAAAGTGTATAAATTATGAGAAATCAAAAAGCAAAGATACTTAAATAATTATTCCATTTATTAATGCTTACTTCATTGTATTGTAATTCACTTAGTTGTTTATTAAATTAATAAATAAACTTTCAAGAAAATGTAGAGAAGCCGCCGAGTTTATTTTGTGTAAAGAATTGTTCTGTTTCAATGTTTTTATTGAATTTCTTGACGACGAAGATTATAATCATTGAAATATTAACGTATAAATTCACAAACGGATAATTTTTCAGCGAAAGTAAAATTGTATGCAAAATTCTGTTGAAATGGAACTGGTTTTTTTATTTAAGCACCACAGATTACTTATTTGTTATGATCCTTCCTTTTTTTTTTTTTTTTTTTTTGAAGGGACGCGCGCTGGTAGCTTGAGGAGCTTTTCCAGCTTCACCGGGCAGAGTGGCGAGTACAGAAGGTACTCTAGCCGTTTGGCGATCGTCGGTGCGCGTGCCGACGAGGCCAGGCAAGCCCAGGCTCGTCCGCGTCGGTCGCAGACCGACGTTCGCGATCGGGCCGTATCGAGCGCATAAGGCGCCCGATCAGTGGCGAACCCAACAAGAGGGTTGCCCACCGCGGTGTTGGACCAAAGTCCAGCCTACGGCGGGCTCACTCTAGTGGGCCCGATCGAGGGGACTACGGACGCGGCCTGAGGGCGCCACGGTAGGCTCGGACCTCGGCTCAGGCCGTGTCCGGGGGACGGATAGGGGATGATCCTTCCTGCTTCAGCACGAACCTCTATATAGTAGTGGGCGATATAAATCGATACTAAAAAAATATCGATACATTACGCGATAATATCGCTTCCATCCGATATTATCGAAACGCCTAGTATCGAATTGAATATCGATATATTTCATCCGATATACCAAAAATCGAATTGCTTATTCCTTTAAATAAACCGGTTCAACGAATTGGAAAACAAATAATACCAATGAAAGTCTTTCAGATGAGTTATCGCTTTATTTGAGGACTCCAGTGAGTAGATTGACGAAACCCATTAGAAGTGTGGGCAGACTATAAAATACAGTTCCCAACGTTATACAATGTGGCTTTTAAATATTTAACCATGGTGGCTAGCTCAGTTCCATCTGAACGACTTTTCTCAAAAGCCGCACAGGTTCTTACACAGCAGAGAAGCAGATTGCAAGCCAAAAGGGTCAATAAAATTTTGTTTTTGCAAAGCTTAGAGAAGAAATACTGGGATTTATAAATCTTTCACTTTTGGGTCGTATGGCCATTGATTTCATTTGCATGCATGATATACAGTGTGAGTCACGTTAAAATGTACATATGAAAATAGATGAAACTAGACCTAAACTAGACCTATTTTTATCGACAAAAAAGAGGTAAAAAAAAATCTGCTTTTAAATTCGTGTTTTTTTTTTGGTTATTTGATAAATTTCTCCAAAAAATGCCCCTATAACCGGTGGTTTTTACTACTTTGTATTATTCTCTATCGTATTACCTTCGTAAAACCAAAAATCGCATGTTTCTAGATGTTGTGACTCATATTAATAATATCAACCTACCCTATTTAATATTAGAAACTAGTTTAATACGAGTAAGTAGGAAATTACTTACGATATTTCAAAAATATCGATATATATGTTCGATATATCGCAAAGTATCGATAGAACATTACGATATATTATATCGAAAATAATATCGATATTTTTTTAACATGAACATCACTACCTCTATATAATATACTCTATGAACCTCTCTTATGGCTATATTTCACCGGGATATACTATATACTTTATACTATGGCGGCGCAACCAGTCGCCGCTTTTTTGACATTGGCAGTCAGATGATAACATTTACGAGGATAGTCCTCACTCTCAGTTACATGAATGTTACGAATACAATGATAAAATAATATTTTACTCAATCTTCATAAATCCAATTGTTTAGAAGAGATCGCTCTCTGGCGATAAGACCTTCTAAATTGTGCTGTTTAAATTTTTAATTCTCGTCAGTTTGGTTTGTTTATTTTTATTAAATACTTCTAATTAATTGCTTGAATTTATTTTAAAATTATTTTTTTTATTTTCATTTCACTGTCAATCCTGTAAGTATGCTATAAATTCACAAATCAAGATTTGTAGTGTGAATGATTATTATAAAGCACTTTCACACGCACGTTCCTTTTTACTAGAGATTGGTTACTTACTCGGATTAATTACCTTTGACCTGTATGGTGATAAGAACTGATAGCCACTTAAAATTCGTTTAAGTTGATGAACTAGAGAATTTTTCTTTAAATTTATCAATATGAAAGTGAAAATTGCTGTTTTAGGAGCTGGAGCAAATGGACTAGCTTCTGCGGTTAAAATTCAGGAGGCTTACAGACATGCAGAGGTAGGAGACATCCAGATTGTGTTAAGCAAAAATGGATTTATCTTTATTAACATATTATTGCTACGTGTTCATTAGGTGGTGATAGTTTCTAATGAGTTCTCCCCAGACACGACGGCTGATGGGTCTGGAGGATTATGGTACCCGTATCTTTGCGGATCTACTTCAGAACACTTATTAGCGTAAGAGTTTTATTGTGTTTGCGTTAAATTTAATCTGTGCAATGAATAAAGAAGCGTTTGCTGTTCTTGACTTTGTGTTAACGGTAGCGCCTGAAATTTTATTAATGGCAATGTTTTATTAAAGTTAAAGTGTTCTAAAATGTTTTGCAGACAGTCAGATAATTAAAATAATGTTTTACAGAAAATGGGGAGCTGAAACTTATAACTTTCTGCATGAACTCTGGCTTGAAGGAGAAAATAACGTTTGCTTGATACCATTCTATGAATTCTATCGGGACATCCAATATCAACAACCTCCAAAATGGCTTAATTCGGTGTTTGGTTACCGCCAACTTAATGAAACTCAGTTAAATTACTATAGCAAATTGTACAATGTAGAGTTCAGGTAAGCTTATTCTCAATATTGTCTAAATTTCTTGACAAAATATAAAAAAATGGTGCAGGATGTAAGAAATTACACATTTAACATTAAGTACAAGTCCCATTTTTTTCTTTTAAAGATCAGGGATGACATTTGTTACCTTCGTGCTCCATCCTTCTTCACTCCTAAAGTATTTTACTGAAAGATTCAAATGCGCGAATGGGAAAATCTTACGGGCCGAAATTACCTCCTTGGATGATCCCTTACTTACCGATTTCGACGTGGTAGTGAACTGCACTGGCCTAGGGGCTAGGAATTTGGTACCAGATAGTTCAGTATTCCCTATAAGGGGACAGATTTCAAAGGTAAAGTTTTTTATTTTACATTTTTTAATACATTACTTATTTACTTTTGTAATTAGGTTATTATTTAAATTGAGTGGATATTCATTTGTGATCGACTTTTAAAATTTTTTTAGGTGATAGCACCATGGGTCAACGCGGTCATTGTTGAAGATGGCGGAAACTACATCATTCCAAAGTAAGAATCATCAGTAGCAAATAAGTTTTATACCTTTTCCTATACCAAACTGTTACAGTGTTGTATAATTTGTGGTATTTTTCAGTACGGAAACCTGTGTGCTAGGCGGGACGCACCAGGAGCATGACTACAACACTAAAATAAATAATACGGACACCGACTTCATTCATAACGGTTGCAGGACGATCATCCCTGGACTAGAGGTGAGACTATCCCTGACTATCAATTGTTAAGATCCTTCTACTTAGGTACTACGTATAGGTAATGGATAAGGGATATGCTGTTAGTGTTTGATAAATTAACCGTGCTCCTACGCTTTAAAAATAGTCAGTCTACATAAATAGGTAGGTACCTAGGTAATTAATTTGCTTTCAAATTATTATTAAGTAAATAAATGTTTTCTGGTACGCGGCCTCCATTCCAGAACCTTTCTGCCCCATCGGCCGTCAGTTCTGCGTACTATGTGCCCTGCCCATTGCCACTTCAGCTTGCTAATCCGTCGGGCTATGTCAGCGCGTACCGGAAAACGCAGCGTGGGACGTCCACCTACAGGGTGGACCGACGACATCGTAAAGGTAGCAGGGAAGCGCTGGACGCAGGCCGCTACCAATCGATCAACATGGAAAGCATTGGGGGAGGCCTATGTTCAGCAGTGGACGTCCTGTGGCTGAAATGATGATGATGAAATAAATGTTGATTCCAGCACGCAAAACTGGTCCGGCAATGGGTAGGTCTCAGGCCCGGGAGGCATGAAATCAGACTGGACCACGAAGTAAGAAATGGAAAGCTCGTCATACATAACTACGGCCACGGTGAGTTCTTAGCCTTTACCAGAACCTAGCCTTCGTTAGTGGAAAAAGACAATAAGAGACCAAAGTCTCACTCATTGCCTTACTTGCAGGTGGAAGCGGCTTGACCTTGTTCTGGGGGTGTGCTCAGGAGGTGGTGGACATATTGAAGAATAAAACGCCGATTGAGATTAAACATTCAAAACTTTAATGAGTTATCAATGTGTTAATTTAAGATGTTAATAATAAACGATGTCATTTAATGTAGCATATAGAACGTAAATTTACATTTTTATGAAGACATCTTCATCTTCCGGACGGTGTTGTATAAGTCTGTCCTCCTCTGAGGCTTTATAGGCATTTGTCTTCTCACTTCTTCCACGACATTGAGGTCTGTAAAAATAAAGTTTGTTCTCTAACTTTAGCAGTCTCACACCGGAGGGCTTACTAGTGCTGCCCTAAAGTAATACTACTCACCAATATCTTCCAGTATAGTCCCAACATTCTCGTCTAGTTGGGCCTTGATGTTTCCCCAGGGGTCCACGAGCATGGAGTGCCCCCAGGACTGGTAGTCAGCGCTGGTGTCACGCGCGGGGCTCACTAGCGCCACCCACAGCTGGTGGTCGAGCGCGCGAATGCGGCCGATTAGCTCCCAGTACCTCCTACCAGCCGTGACATTGAAATCACCGGGGAAAATTAGGAGGGAACATCCTGCAGGTTACAAAACTACTTATTAGTCCCCTTAACGACACAAATATTAACAAATCAATCGAGCTAACTGCGCGCGCACCTCGCTAGAATGCGAATCTCATCCCATTCAACCGCACACCACCATGTGTTCGCCCCGTTCCGTACCAGAGCATCGATGTGACGTCATGACTGCCAGGTGCGCAGTTAACTCGACCGGGTTGTATTTACAAATTATCAATACAGAGTTTTGGTATTTATTTATGGGGGAAAATGCAGTTTGACTGACCATCTTGAGCCATGAGCTCTGCCATCTCGGAAAAGCACATGTCGAAGCAGATGCCGAGCCCGATCTTGACGCCGTTGAACACGAAGGTGGTGATCTGGTCTCCGGCCGATAGCATCTCAGATTCTTTGTGCTTTAACTTTTTCGGAATGTCTATGTCGTACAAGTGTACCTGTAATCATTTTTAAGTAGTCTAGGTAGGTATAGCAGGTACTCTGAAATGTTACAGTTCTCATGAAAAAGTAAAACATAACACCACAACGGTATCAGTGTGTGATGTATTTTAAAAACAAAACATATTTCCAAACCGAGGCTGAGCGGAGAGGTCATGTGAATGCGTTGTAACCAACCTAATAAAGGTAGCAGGAAGGCGCTGGATGCAGGCCACCGCTACCAACGGGTCAATAAGGAAATCATTGGGAGAGGCCCATTGTTCAGCAGTGGACGTCTTAAGGCTGAAATTATGATGATAACACATGTCCTCTCCACTTGGTGGAAACCAGGCTTGAAGACTACCTTCCTTCCTGTGGCGCGCCAGCAGCGCCCCGTCGCGGCCCCACATGGTGCTGGTGCTGTACAGGGCGCCACCCTGCCGCTCGGGCAGCGTGCCGCCCACCAGCACCGCCCTAAGGCCTCAGCCTCGAGTTTAGCGGGCAGCGGGGCGGGAGCGGCGGCGGCGCGGGAGCGGCATGATCTTATGCGTAAAATCAAATAGACCGGTTCTCGAAAACAGCGGCGCCGGAGCGGGCAGCGGCGCGGGAGCGGGCAACGCACTCCTTCTTTTGCCCACAATAAATCGAGCGTTAGGAATAAATTTGAATCGAAATAAAATTGTCGCCGTTGTTCAGACATTTCGTTTGCGAATAAAAACAAATATCTCGACAACACAACCCCGAACACAACACTTCGCCGCTCCCGCGCCTCCGCCGCTCCCGCCCCGCTGCCCGCTAAACTCGAGGCTGAGGCCTAACATACCGCACCTTCCTGTGGCGCGCCAGCAGCGCCCCGTCGCGGTCCCACACGGTGCTGGTGCTGTACAGGGCGCCGCCCTGCCGCTCGGGCAGCGTGCCGCCCACCAGCAGCGCCCTAACATACCCACCTTCCTGTGGCGCGCCAGCAGCGTCCCGTCGCGGTCCCACACGGTGCTGGTGCTGTACAGGGCGCCGCCCTGCCGCTCGGGCAGCGTGCCGCCCACCACACACACGCCTGCCTCAGCCGCCGCCGCCGACAGCGCGCGACACGTCTCCCCGAATGGCACTTCCTCTGCGTTCACTGTCACGGAGTTAGCTAAATTTAGCCCAGTGTTTCTAAACCTGTGGTCCGCGGACCCCTGACAAGCATAATGTATGGGAGTCCGCAGCCTATATGAAACATTTAACAATCATAAATAAATGCCACCAAGTCTCGTAATCGAAATTTATTGCAGATTTTTTATTTAAGGGGTCCTTAAAATTGTGCTTGGTTTCCTAAGAGGTCCGTAGACAAAAAAGTTAAGAAACTGGAGGAATTTGAAAGAGTAAGTAACACATGGAAATATAAACAACGCAGTGTCACTTATTAGAAAACACCCAGACAAATTCATGCACACAAATGCTTGTAAGGTGCTGGAACGAACCCGCGACCTCTGATTAGTACGTCACATCAAACAGCCTACTGAATGAATATTCAGTCACTTAAGTATATAGGTAATGTAGTGCCTACTACCCATAACATTGACCGCAGACGCACCACACCACACGCAACAGAATTTAGTTTGCTTTCATATAACGCTGCGTCTACTATCCGCGAACCCAAATCACCGAAACACCGAACGCAACTTAAATCCGTTGATGAATGGCTACCCTTAAAGAAATGGCCAGGTTCTTACTGTTCTCCTTTGGCGAGTTAAAGCATTCCGGCAGAGCGACCAGCTGTGCGCCTCGTTGCTTGGCCTTGTGGATCTCCTTCACGGCGGCCGCGACATTCTTGGCCTTGTCCGGGCCCACGAGCATTTGGACGAGAGCTATCTTCAAACCTGGAAGTAGTCTTGATAGTGACATATTAAATGCTCAACTAGCACTGATGCTGGCACGGAGACGGTGTATTGTCTTATAACGCGATATATATACAGGGTGGCCCTGAAAGAAACTCTTAACGAAAGCTTTTCAAAATGTTGATGCCCGATTAGAAGAATGTCGAAACCGTAAAGGAAATTACTTGGACAATGTAAAGTAAATTTAAAAATAATATATTTTATTCCATTTTCTTTAAATTGTAATAAGCTAAATTATAATTATAGTTATATTTATACAGATTTTTTCCTTGAATTTTCAAAAGCGCATTTCTTTCTGGCCCCCCTGTATTTTACCTTGCACGGTTCACGCAGCAAGACGAGCAAGTAATCCGTAAAATTGAGGACAAAGCTTTAATTTTGAAGTAGTAAATACATAATAACATGTTGTATGCATGCATATTACTTAGTAAAAAGTAGGTTTTATCTAAATATGTATACAGGGTGTTTGTTGGGTGTACGGCGGAAGGTTAGACAAACTTCGTGGGTGTATTATGTAAGGTCATTTTAAGAATACAAGTTCGCCCATAGAGCTACTTTTTAAAATTGATACATAATTTGATACATAATTTGCAAATAATATTTTTATTGTGCTTAATGTACTTAGGTATATCACTTATATCAAAGTAATGATCGTTATTCCATTGTGTTAAATAGTAGGTAAGTACTACTAGTAATTCATACCTAGCTAATTTCATACTTTTAAATATCCTAGTAAGTACCTGACCTAGTTTCATAAAATAAAGACTTTAACTCAAGCTTTTTATTTTTAGGGCTGATTTTTCAATCGTCGGATAACTTTTAACTGAAGAATAAGTTTGGCACAATGACAGTTTCAGTACGGAAAATATGTCAAAATGACAATTTTATTCTTCAGTTAACCCTCAATTTGCATGGTAGGTCCCAGGGACTCCATATGAAACTGTTCTGGTCCATAATTTTTTTCAATACGTGAATACAGTGCTGTTTGCTTGAGTAGCTTCCTTTGGTGTCTTGGCCAACTCGGGGGCGAGAGGTCGTGTGCGTGCGCATCACAGAAAGGTGAGTAATTGACACTTGCGAAGTCCCCCGCGGACTCCACCATACACTTTGTGTACCAAAAAAATATATTATAAAATTATGTTTTTTTTTTATCCTACGGTTATATTTACGGTTTAAGTGGACCAAAAAGCATTTAACAGTCACAATACATAATTTATCAATACGTTAGATGAAAATGAAGCTTCAGATAATATAAGGAAATCTAGAAAAAAATGCAGACGATGAAGGAAAAGAAAAGGACTTTACATCTTATGTCCCGAAATATTTGTTTTGATGATATTGTATTTTGTTGATGATGTGTTTTGATGAATTAAAAGGAAGACGGCTTATTTTGAAATTAATTTGACAAAAAAATGCTTGTATTATTCGAAAAAGTTTTGCAGTCAATGTGCTGCTCGTACTAGTTACTAAGCCATTGCACGTTTTTTCGTGTTAATTTTTTTGTAACAATTTACATATTATTTGTGAAGAAGACTGTTATGTGCACATAATTTAGAGAAATAAATATTTTTGGTTAATTTTTTTTAAGTATATGAGGTAAAAAATGGCTATGTCGATTTTTATGTGATTTTTACGACTAAATGAAAAAAATAATTTTCAAAGTAATGTTAATTAATATTTTAATTTCTGTTGTTTCTAATTAATAGTATATTAACCATATTATGTTACCAAATAAAAAATGTATTATTTTTATAAGTGTGAGTCTATTTTTTCTTCATTTGAAATATGGAGTCCCAGTAGGGTCTCCACCTTACACTTAATGTAAGTTTTAGTCACCATGCAAACTGAGGGTTAAAAGTTATCTGACGAAAGAAAAATCGGCCCTTAATATGCAAAAATGCGTAGTTTTGCCAGTACCTACGCTTTCTTTCATAAAGCTAAGTCCTAGGTACCTACCTAGTTTGAAGATATTTTATTTCTAAACGACAAAATCCCGGTCGTATACATAGACTAGTAATCCTATACTGCGATCACTGACCTAACTTCTTGATTTGTATATTTCGACGTTACACAGTCTTCCGCGATCACTGACCTAACTTGTTTTATAATTCTTCTACTGCTACTTTATTCTAATTAATTATTTGTTACTTGTGCTGTTAATTACAATTCTCAATCCGTAAATAAATTTCTTCTTTCTACCGTGTTCGTACTACTGTCCTCGCAAAATCATCGTAACCGATTGTTGTAATCGGATTACATGAACTTAACATCACTCGACCACGTATGTCCATTTGGACATATCGGAATGGCACGCTTTGACGAGCAACTTCTACTCTAATCCATATCTGTGGGCGTGACCGTTCTTCTTTGCATGTCTGAAAGGACTAAAAAGGCGATTATAATATGTTTTCATCCTTTGTTACCAGTTTTTAAGCAAATAAATATTTCTTTTAGTTTTTCTTCTTCTTATTATTCTTATTCTTTTCTTTTGTATTACATTTAACATTCAAATGACTTACTTATACTTACTTATTTTTATCATAAGTAACAATTTGCGTCGATAACAATTCGCAATGTTATGCGCATAATATGTCCTGTCGACGTAGCGTAAAAACGGTGTATTGAAGTCAGACGACTTTTGAGAGTAGGATTGAGAGTTCGCCTGAGTGAAGGCCTCTGGTATGGTAAGTCACCATCAGGATCTGGATGATGCTATTCTAGGGTCACCTAGGACTGTGATTTGTATTGTGACCTTTTTTGGCCCGCTTAAAAAATACTACTTACACCTGACCCTACACAAAATTATGTTAGACATAGGGATGTTAGGCAGGGGCCTAATTAATGCGCGTTTTCACCATCAATTCCTAATCTTTAAGTGACCCCTATGAAAACAAAATTCTTTGTTATGTGTTACATAAGGGTCACTTAAAAATTAGGGATTAATGGCGAAAACGGGCATAAGATCCTCTCTTTGCGTAGGTGCCGTAAGTAGCAATTATGGGATTCAATTTACAACACCGGATGTACAGAAGTATTTTCGCTATCGCAAAGAAAATTAAAATAAAATATGGTGTTATGCTGGTAAATCCTAAAGCCAAACCTATTTTTTTGAACTAAGGTCGGAATCGGTTTAACCTTTCGCTAATGTGTTAGGAAAAATAATAGAAAACAAAACACCAAATTATAAAGTTATAAACTTTAATGGTAACCATCACAAAACTGTCAAAAGACAATAGTATTTTATCATGATAACATAATTAATAGATCTTTCGTTCGCACACCACCTCTCAAAATAACAAAAAATAAGTAACATTTAACACATTTTTATAAGTATTGCGATATAAAGGAGTGCCCACGTGGGTCTAACATTTAAATAGGGTAAACCGTATAGCTATTGCCCACTTTAAGATTTCAAACACATTGAGATGAAAAATTAAATAAAGTATTTTAATTATCGACCATTTATGACTTTTTTCTTATAACTCAATAAACTGTTAAACAGAATATTAACAGTTTTTAGTTAAAACTTACGTAACTTAGAAAATATTGAAATAAATTTAAAATCCTCCAAAAAGTACAGTCATTGCCCATTACTTACACTAATTGCCCACATCAAAGCACAGTAATTGCCCAGTATCTTAAAACAAAATAATCAATTTTAAAATGACAAAATAGGCTTTAAATAAACAAAACAAAACATTAAACTTAAATTCTAGTAGTACAGTCTTCAAAATTTCAAAATAAATTGCGTTTGGCCTTATTAAATATTATCAAATATTTCTTGAGCTGATGTTGATGAGTCAGAACCAGTAGAGACAGAATCATCTACTTCAAAACATAGATGACGCAAAAATTTGAATTTTTTATGTAAATTTTATATGTATGTATTTATTTTTTATCTTTTTTGATATCAGTTCAAGTGGTTGCTCAGAATGTTCAATTAGCTGTTGGTTATTCTTCCCTAAAGTTGTATCTATTTCCTTACAATTATTCATTTTCACTTGTAGATTTAACGTAGGTTTTTCATTTTTTGTATTTGCGTTTGAATTTTTATCAATTTTTTCAAGCCAAACCATATTTTTACATCTACAAGATAAATTGTTGGATACATCTTGTACAGCTTCGATCGCTTTTTGCAAATTTTCTATGCTATATTGAACTTTTGGAGTCTCTGGCATACTGAAAATGAAACATTTAAAGCCATTTCAATATTTATGCCTGTAAATTGCAAAACAAGTCTAGCAATGAGCAACTTAAACACTGCTACTGCATGGTGGCAACACTCTAATAATAATTGCCCTGGGCAATAACTATACATTAACATATGGCAATAACTGAAATGATGGTGGGCAATAACTGAAAATATACAGATTTACGTATAGTGATTACCCACCGTTAAAATGACCGTTAGAAATCAAATTTTATAAGTTATTTTCATTGATAATGGAAAAAACACTTATAATTTCATCATGACTATACACCATTAGTTGAATATTAAATAACTTGCAAAAAAAATTAACCTCTAAGCAAGTAATTCCTTAGTAAAATTGTTAAAGTTTTCACCTGCTTGAGTAACATTTTCAGCCGTCTTGACAAAATCCGTCACAACTGTTTTTTTTTAGTGTTTCCTATTGTAAATTTTAAATCTACTGTACATTGATCTCGGAGCCATCTACTTAGTAAATTCAAATCTAACTAGAGTGATTCAAAGTCAGCACCTGACAATATTATTCTTAAAGCGGGCAATCACTACCAGTGGGCAATCACTCTCTGGTTTACCCTACTCCTATTGTTATAACAATGTTGGCAAGAAATATAATATCATTCTTCTATTTCCTCTTAATCGTATCGTACAGGTCTGTCCTCCTCTGCGTCCTGATAGGTATTTGGCTTCGTACTTCTTCCACCACATTGAAATCTATAAAAGGAGAGTTAGTTTTTTAATATGAGCGTTGTCACATTTTTCATGCAGAAATCGAGAATTTGGCTGATTTCGAAATGATTTTAGTCATATAATTTATTGTTATAGCTTCTTTTGACTTATATCATCGTAATTATCATACGTTTTTACGGAATGTCTATTGACAAAATCTC